ACAACTTTTAAGAATCAATTTCAATCATTTTATATTGAAGCATTGCAAATTACACTATTTCCAAAAGTCGGCAAAATCATACAGATTCTCATTAGCATAACTTCAAGTTCAATACTTTAAGCTCCTCTTACACATGACTCGAACATTTCCATATTAATTAAATTAACTTTATGTATGAATTAATTTTACTGCTCATAAATAATCAATTAGTAACCTAAATGCTATTAACGACTTTGAATAAATAGCATGAAATCGTCTAGGGTCGTAATATGATTCCTGATTCATTACAGCATAAAAAAAGCCATATCAATCTTCATCAATCAATAAGATCGACTATTTTGCATAAATGAAAAATTGCAATAAAAGCCTTTTTATATTCGTGATTTGCATGATGGCGATAATGAAAGTGATAAATGTTGTCCATAATTCTTTGATAGATCCAACCGATCAAGAAGGATGTGAGAAAGTCAGAAAGTATCGTCTTTATTTTTTAACGACGCCGATAACTTCAACAAGGGAAATCAATAATCGTAACCATAATGCTGATGATATAAAAATCTGTGAAGCTCTTAATAAGATTAAATATTGCCATATTGTGATCATAATTCCTAATTAAAATCTGTTAATGACTCTCGTTTGACATTTACGATAATTTCCATATTTCTCAAATAATATTGATTATTGCTATAAATCCCCCTTTGGGTTAACAATCATAAGACATTAAGTCGTCAATTAGCGCGCATACATTAAAGTTGTGAAAACATTCTACGTTCCTATCATTCAAACACTTTGAAAATATGTTTTGTAGCCTGAATTTCAAGCACCTACATAATAAATTTTTTCAAAATTGAACTAAAGCAATTTTTTCGAATTTTAAACTAACAATCTAGTCATTTAAACTGTAAATGTTGAAATTAATTTTTCAAATAAAAAACAACATTATGTACAATCCCATTTATAGGCAAATCGACGAAATCCATTTACCACAAAAAATATATGACACAATTCACTCAAAAATAATAAAACCAGATTACGTATTATTCACGCAATAAATCTATTAAAACTTATTATCGCAATTTGTTTTTAATAAAATTCAAAAGAAAAAAATAATAAAGCTGATAATCAATCTTAAAAAAATTAGCGACTAGCTAATTGTTTGGGTTTGTTTTTATTTGCAGTAAAAACTGGTTGGATAAAATTGAAATATGAGATATGCCAAGGTAGTGATACTTATTAAAATTTAAATTTATAAAAACTTGGATTCTTTAAAACAGAAGCTTTTTTGGTCCACGGGACATTTTTTTTTAATTAATGTATTTCGTGACTTTTTTGAAGTCAAAAAACATTATAATAAAGGGTCAATTCAAGCAATCCAATTTTTTTCATCATGTATCGCTAATCCATGATTGGGAACTTGACACGCTTAACATATATGTTGCTTTAAGAGTAACTTCATATCTTTTTGGCGAATTGATATTAAATATGAGATAAAACAGTGTTCCATATCCCAAAGCCTATATTTTGGGTAGCCGAGAGGTATTAGACAGAGGAATCGACCCATGATAACTACGTTGTCTTCCTTAAGACAATGCAAGCATAGCTCAGTCCCCATACTTTTATGACATAATTACTTCAATCCTTGTTGCGCTCCACATAGTCCTCTATTTGTAATAATTTTAAAAATCATTCAAATACATTTTGCCAAACTTTCTAGCTACAGTCTCGAATTAAAATAATCTTTCAAAATGCCCACGCCTTGGACCAAAATGAGAGGGAGGTTCTATACATTCATGTTCTCATTAATTGTTTTTTTTTCTGCCAGAACTGTGCATATTTATGTGATAGGTCATGTCAAAATCATGCGGTTAAATATTTTTATAGTAGAACTTTGAGGGATTGAGAATATAATAGTCATGTGGTCTTAAGACTAAACAGATTCTGAATCATTGTTTATTTGTAGAAAGCTGCATATTTAATGAACCACATGCCGCAATCTTAAGGCACAAACATAAAAATCAACAGAATTTATTATTATTCTGCTGCTTAAAGCTACAAATTTAGGTAAAACATGAAATATTGGTTTTAATTCTTGTCCAGACTGAATCGTCAACTTATTTAAATACATCCTGCAACGAATATCATCCTTTAGCATTTTACCGTTTCATTTAGTGACATTTACAGTCACTGACATCATCGAATAATTTTAAACCATGAATGCAAACCGCTCTTGACACAAATCCACAAAAGATTATAAGTTCATCCATAAATTTCCGTCTAAAACTTGAAATGTCAACTTTTGAAGACATTAATTGCTAAATCAACATATTTCATTATTGATGTCCAATTTCGCATCTTCAAAATCAGTCGTAAATTCAAGCGGTCATAAAAATATATTTTATTTTTGACACTCGTCTTTTCTATTTTTACATTAATTCAAGGTTAGCTAATTTTTCAAAAACTATCGTCAAATTTCCCTTTTTGTTTGGTTTCTCTTTTTTCACACTTCATGATTGATCAAAGTAATTTGACGTTACCACAAAAGTCTACAGATTTATGACCAGAACCATCATGAAGGTAGCTTTTTAATAAGATTATTGAAAGGAAGTAGAAACCATAAGTAATTGTCTCCGTCATCTTCATGCCTCGCAAATATTTACATTGTGCTGATGTCAATGCTTTGATGATGTCATTGCTCTTTATTTCACACACAATATCAAGATAATTTTTTTTACGAGTTGAAATGCGAAAGAAATATGCAAATTAATGTTTTGTGGTAATTTAGACTTATAGACGTTTTGATGGAGTCGCTAAATTAAATTGCAAATTTTTATCTTGAATCGTAAATAATTGGAAGTTGTAAGATTTTATTGCATTTAAAATATTCATGGAAACTCGTTCTATATGAGTCCCGAGGAGCTATTGAGCAATTTATTATGATGTCATGGTCCCTGCTGTCCTCATCTAGAGGATATACTATGAATGCTTTTGTTGGTGCTTTTCAATTCATTAACCTTAAATTTTGAGTGTTTGTCAAGCAATTTAGACTTCTAGTAAAATTCTCTTAAAGCTTAGTTAAGTCTACAAGTAGGAACTTTCTTCAGGTCTTTTATAATGTGATTCATTAAACTCAGCAATAATTTACCTCCAAGACACCATGAAGACGCCAAAAATCACCGAGAAAACATTAAGTAAACACATCATCTTATGTTTTAAGCTAAATGGTCAATGTGTGACATTTTAAGAAAATTAACAGAAGTGAAAATTCGCCGTCAAATGGTAAAAGTTTGAGGGAATATGAACTGACGGATAACTAATGAGGTTTATGAATTTAAACATAGATATTTTGATAAGGATAGATATCAGTGATTAGTCTTTGAGGGGAATGAAAGGTCTATTAAGTTTAGTGGATAATAAGGTGGATTGTCTGTAAAAGTGGGTCGTGGTTCTCAACCTTTTCAAAGCGAGTCTTACTTGATTACGTGGCGATACTAGGATACATACTAAAATTTTATCTAGTATAAATTTTAGTTTTCATGATAGTTCTTTCCCATGTTCTCTCCCATGTCCATGATAAAAAATATCCAAATATAAGACCAAATATTCTGACTATGCTTCTCGGGACTCCATTCACAATATCCCGTATACTTTGAATTTAAATATATGATTTGCAATCATAAATTCTACTTCATATTCATACACAGAAAGTCAAGTTTTGTTAAGATATGAGAAATAGACACAAGATGTGACCTTGATCAGAATATTTGAAAGTGTTAAAACTCTTGGCCAAAAAAATGATGATGTGAAATTTCCTCGCCACAATTAATCACCTTTTGATTTCACTTCTGAATTAAGACTATAATTAAGCTCTCGATGATAAGTCAAAAAAAACTTTTTTTCTCGTGATTTTTCTTCAAAAGAATCACCACTTTTTTTTGAAGATATCTGCGTCTTTTCATGATGTTAGTCACACTTTAATCATTTTTTTCGGATGGTCAGCAATACATAGTAGAAGAAGAAGATGAGCAATTTTAATTCAAGTGTTTAAAAATCCCCTGACACACCAGTACTAATTTTCGAGAAGCAGACGATCGCAGAACAGAAATAACAATAATAAAGACGGAGATGAAAAAGAAAAGGAAGAGAGGCACAAAATAACAAATTTTTCAGCACTACCGAATCAAATCAGATGATGAATAACATTCAAATTAAGAAAAATTCTACGAAAATAAAAACACAGGATTTTTCAATTTAACTTCATGTGTAGGAATTAATCGAGTAGGTTTTTCTTTGCCATCCACATGCTTTAATTCTTATATGGAATTTGCAAGCAGATCAGAAACTGAAGCAGATGGTGGAATTGCGAGCAGTAAAACGAGTGTCAACTGAGATTTTTCTCTCTGTCTTATTCTTGTTCATAAAAGGAAACCAGAACCGTGACATAATTTTTAATTTAATAATAACTTTTATATTGGTTTGTATCAAAGTATCTTAAAGTTTTTTTTTTATCAAGGATCGAGATCTTATTGGGCAATAAATGAGGGAAGGAATATAATTAAAAATTTCTGAGAGTTTAAGGATCGTTCGGAGATGATGTCTAGCTTTGTGGTTTAGTGATAAAATCTTTAGCATTTTGGCAACAAAAAAGTGGATTTTTGGTGGATTTAACTTAAAAATTCAGCGTTCTCAATTTTGCACTACCTAAGTTGACGTCCTAGATGCCACCAAATCCAGATGATACCATTGTCCATATCTAATCACAACATTTTATTTAAATTGTCTAAGTCTTAATTTTTAGACACACTTTCTTGAAGTTGCTTCTGATTTTATCTCAATATTGGCAGTTTTTAAAAACTTCCTATCAATATTGGGATAAGCACTTATCATCAGAACCCAATGTCCTTCCAGAATCTTCTCCATTATCAACAATTCAGGACTAAGACCCCAATCACTAGACATCACAAATAATCGACCCCTTATTAATATTAATGATAAAAACACACCGTATATCAGGCACAGCTAATAAACTTTACAGTCGTTGAAAACAAATTTTATTGTCACTTTTTGTATGTTTTTACACCATTTGGAACTTGAAATTTTTTATCCACAAAATTCTTATTTTTTCCAAAATTTTCTGTTCTTGATACGCGTTAAAGTCTTTTTATTATTTGCTCGTCAAATACTTCGTTTCAAATTCAATATTAACAAATGCGATAAATTTAAAAAAATTCCGTACTTATTCAAACAACGTCTTGTGAAGAACTAACTGGATTGTGATGGAATGAATATTGTTTACACATTGAGCTGTGTTTCAAGTTCTGGAACATTTTGAAATATGAAACTACTGAGAGTGAAAAAAGCTTTCTGGAGCTTACTAGAGAGTATCAACAGCAGTGCATAATAAAGACTGAGAAATATTGTATTGCATAAGAGACGAAAATTCATATGTAGAAAGAAACAAGAAATTAATCGTGCATATCCACTACGTAATGGAATTTCCAACGATTTATGTCTTAATCTTATTTTGTGTCCGGAAAATTAAATCTGATTTTGTTCTTAATGTGATTAATTTGTTAAGTTGTTTTGACAAAATGGATTAGAATTGAAAATATTTGTTGGAGTTTAGATCGGATTTGTTGTGTTTTAAGTCATTTAGAGTTGTTTGGTAGAATTTGAATAAGATGATAATGCAATATAATGCTTTATTAGCTATCATGCTGGAATTAAAGTTTGTTTGACTGATCACAACCCTAGAATACTCGCAAACTACTCTAGTAAGGACTGTAGGGACAATTAATGAACAAAGTATTTTTCGAATCAAGCCTTAATGAATCAAAAATTCAGCAGTACTTATCAAACTCATTGCCAAATCACGCTTAATTAGACAACTCCCCATTTCACACACGAAATGTTTAAATGCCAAAAATCCACATTTTAATCGGCAAATCGTGTCTAACTCAAAGTTTACCTTAATTGACAGTTGCAATTGCTATCCACTTAAACTTTCACTATCCCTGCGAGATCTCAACAAGAAGTCTTCGATTTTTGCGCAACATGAGAAACTAGATTTGATCGATTTGTGATTTGTTTAACCATATGTGATAATATTAAGCCGGCACGTAGTATTGGATAGCTTTGAAGCTCTTTAATTAGCAATAAAAAAATCAGCGGGTATTAAGTTTATTGCAATATGGCGACAATGTGTGCAGATGTGGTTTCAGCTTATGTTTCTAAATCAAATAAAAGAACGGAATTTTTATTTTTAGATGTTCATTCATAGAATTGAGAATTTATTTGGCATAAATATTCAGGAGGATTTTGAGATTGTTGTTAATGTTAAGAGTTTTTTGTGTGATTACCGTTTGTTTTAAGTTAGGCAGCTGGATGACATATAGGCTTGACTTAGGGGTTTACCAGAAGATTTGTAATTGAGTCCTAAATCCCCACAGTTACTCTTTACTAGCTGAATCATAGAAGATCAACTAAGCAGAAAATAATAAACACTTAGACATTTTGGAACTGAATTAGTCAGCTCCAATTGCTTGATCCATAGCTTACTTACTTTTCTGATCGTACAGACCAATTGTCATCATGTCACTTAAGTTGTTTACTGGAGATAAGGAACGAGAAGTTTTATAATTGTTGGTCAGCTGATTCGCAAATTTTCTCACATTCGGATTTAGCACTAGAAAATTAGCAACAATAAATTATCACCCAAAACTAGCACTTGACTTAAATACCATAGATTTATGGTCCATTTGAATGTCAAGACCCAGTCAAAACAGACTTAATTTGAGTCGGTCATTTGCTGCACCAAGATTAAAATTTATTAAGTCCATAAACATAATTTAAAAAATTATGTATTCATGCTATTACAAAAGAGAATGTATGCGCAACATGCTAAACATCAATAAGAAGAAAGAACAAAAGACTAATAAAGCTTATGTCTCACGGATGAGTGAATTGTCTTTAGATATTTTCACTCTATTCGCCATAAAACCCTAGCTCGTGAGCATCATAAGCTCGATGATTTGTTAATTAACTTCTTATACATTTATTACGGTGAAATTTCCATAGAAAATTATGATAGCAAGCTACTATAAGTGTACGTTAGCACGTAACCACTCACTGTTTAGTTTAGCAATTTTCTTTACATGGAAAGCTATTGTTTTGATTCATTTTTATGGCGCTAAGAAATTTTTGTCTGAATTAATTAATTCCGATTAATTAAAAATTTAAATCGCTTCGAATATTTAAAAGCCTTAATTTTGTTATCTATGCAGAGACGCTGTATTTTTGCTTAATAAATTAGGTCAAAAATTCTTTAGAGTCATTCAATATGCAAACTAAGATATAATCATCATCACTTGTCGCTAAATTGTCTACATTTCTAATTTTATTAGCTTATATAAAATTTTATGGTAGAAAAATAGTTTGTAGAGGTACAGAAGTGTATTTGGGGACTCAATTCTTACATATACATATAAGTCATGATTGATGACTGAAATGATAAAAAAATCTGACTAGACAAGGATTAAACACTAGCTAGGACTGTCTTAAACTAAATCAAATCTATTCATGAGTTTTCTAAAATCTAAAACTCTCTAAATACCAAATATCGCTGAATGCAACCCTGAAAATACCTATTAATGAATACGTGCTGCTTTTAAGAGCATCCAAGTGTGAATAGTTGCATAAAAATCCTCTTAACAGCTCACATAGAAAAAAAAAATAATTTGCAGTGAAATTAGAAGATTTTAGCACATAGAAACTATAAAGCATGAACGGCACTGTGCCAATTAAACGACTCAATCGACTAGTGACATCACGCTTTACGAAGTGTGCAAAAAGAAGACGAAAATTGATTTTCATTGCCTTTGCCACATCACTATTAAAAAATTTATTCATAAATTCAGCACATGTGGGAAATTTAATTTGAAATTTTAAAAGCGTGTTTTAATGTCGCGCAATTGGATCATTTTGCATGTCGTTATTGTTTGCTTTAATGCATCGCTGTACTGATAATGTTCTTATCAATAAACATTAGTGTAAATTTAGCAACATCACAGCTATTCCGGTCAAAATAATTAATTAATAATAAACAGTCTTATCAGCCTGTACACATATTTATAGTATATAACTATTTATAGAATAGAAAAGCATTAGTAGTTCTTGAACCTACTTGAGAAATTGCGCTAGACTTGAAACAGACATTGAATTATAAAATTATATTTAATGAGCAAGGAAGTCATAAAATTTCATTGATTTTTTGCTTTATTGAAACTATTCTATTGCGTCATCATGAACAAGTGTTATCAAATGTCAGAGGAATTAAGGCCATAATCCAGTGTGATCTCCAATCCAGTCAGTGTAGGCTGATACACGTTTGAAAACTCCAGATGGCATGTTGTTGGAGCCTATAAAGAAATTAAATGACATGAATTTGATATAAAACGTAAAAAATAAGAACTTACCGCATGGAACTACACCCCAACTGACGACACCATGAATAACGAATCCAGCACCTTGTCTTTGGAACAATGGTCCACCAGAATCTCCTGAGCACACAGCTAATCCACCACCAACTCTTCCACCTGTGCAAACATTTGTATAATCGACTAAACTTCCATTAAGATTTGCAGCATCAAATTGAGCGCGGCATGTTGGAATGTCAATGAATTCCAAGTCTGTATGTTGAAGAGTATTTGGTAGGGTCAATCCTAATGGACCAGTTGATCCCCATCCAGCAGCAATAGCTAGTAAAAATATATTGAATTTAGTTGAGTTTTTAAAATTATGTTTTTTAAGACATCAAACCTGTTCCAGTTGGAATGTGTTCTCTTGGTGGCAACGCAATAGCTTGAATTGTTGTTGTATAAGTGACTTGATCAAACATGTAGAGAAGTGCCATGTCCTCTGGTCCGACTCCACCACCTAATAAAAAATTCAAGTTAATAATCATAAATTAAGGAACGGCATCCCCGTGATTTTATGATTTTTTTCACAAATATATTTTTATGTCCAAAACAAAAATTCATCGTATTGATAAATTCGGTTTACGGAAGTTATTCGAGAACTTTGCAGATCTTCGTTTTCATATTAGCACGAGGCATACATTAGAAGAAGAAGCAAGCTTACCTGGTACCTATAAAAACAACAAAAAGAAAGAAAAACTTAGTTCAAAAATTTTTGGTAAAGTATGAAAAATAAGCAAGTATAAAATTTATCCCAGGCAACTTAGAAATATTGGTAACAAGCTGCTCCTGGAAGTCAAAAAAGATTTTTTCAAATGCCTTACCCAATCTGGATGGATGATTGATACACTACGATCAACTTCAACTCTAGTCAAACCAGGTTCAATAAAGCGATGGTCATGATTTCCAAGAAGTACATCAAGACGACCGAGAGCTGGTGATTCAGTCAAGCAGTGAGCTAGATTTGGTTTTAAATTCAATAGAATTTACAAATTAGTTTACTTTAAAAGACTCTTAAATCATTAGAAACTTACCAGCTGTCAATACCCATCTGCGGCTAATGAGAGCACCACCACATGTATGTGAGCTTGATGGTGATGGCCAATTCAAGACCCAGTGAATTGATGCCATAAATGGATAGGCATGTGCTGGAGCTTCTGTTCCTCCTACAATTGCTGGTTCAATATTTGCCCAGTTGCTGCTGTAAGCAAATGCAGCGCAGAATAACAGAGAAAAAACTAATAAAGTCTTCATACTTTCTCGCGGGTACGTCAACATGTACTAAGGTTCTTTTGGTTGAAAATCGCTTTTATACTACCGACAAATTTTTCAATCAAATCCACATTATGCCACTTATCAAGAGTGAGATTTTAGGTTGTAAATCAATTGATTGATAAAAAGTATTTTCTATTTATGGGAATTCTTAGTTTTTTGCCTTTTCTTAGATGATTTTAATGAAGTTTCAAAAATAAGAAGCATTTTTAGATTAAATTGAAGGATCTATGTACAAGAGACATTTTTTTGATGCTTTTCAGAACTAGATAAGAATAAAAGTACAAATTTGTTTCTAATATCCTGTTAAAATCAAAGTTTTGCACCTCAAAAATTAAGGGTTTTTTTTAAAATAAAATAAAATTGTATTTAATTGATAAAAACAGAGAAGACAATAATAAGTACTTGAACTACTTACAGCTGTTGAGATAGGTTCGTTGAACTTTGTGTAAAATGTTTTGCCAACTGATTAAATAGTAAACAGTAATTAACAACTCTGTGGCTTCAATATAATCCAATTTATTGTGCGTCATTGATTGTAGCGATTAAGATAGCGATGAGAACCTACTTAAGTATTTTAAAGCTTTCTAGATACGAGTTTAGAGATAAAAATTCACCTTTGGTGGTTGCTTATCAGCTGGGTGATATAATTTTTGAAAGAAAAATTACAAAAGGTGAAGAAAAAACCCTGGCGATGAATCAGAATGATTTTAATTAATAAAGGAACTAATTTAAAGGAATTTTTGGAGAATTTTTCGTACAGTCAAGATCATATAAGCTTAGAATGTCGAACAAGTTGCAAAAAATTTATGTGAATATTATTGTCAATCAAATAACAAGTACTCGAAATATAATAACATTTTGGATTATGCAGATCAGTTTAGCATTCTTGGTCATGACTCAGAAACTAATCTAAAAATTTGCAAACAATTAAATGTATGTCTGCAGCCTGACAATCAATGTATATCATGCCCTGATTCACTTACAACCAACAACAAAGGTGTGTCAATAGCTTATTTCCCTGGAAATTCCAATAACCTTTTTTTTTTCAAAACAATTAATCACTGCTGCAGATTTAATAAATATTTATCTTATCAATAAGTAATCACATGCAACTGATATCAGCTACATACCAATTGTATGTACTTAATAAATATTTTTGGTATATACGCAACAAAAAAATAAATTTATACTTTTTTGTATTTGACATTTTAGAAACATCGCAATAACTGAATGTCTATGTCTGGAAATATTTTGACAAGTAGTTGATTTAAAATTTGGAAGTAAAAAGTAGGCAATAAAAAATTTCTCATGCACTTATTTGTTACCTGGGTTTCTGCAAAAATTAAGATTTCTGAACAAGCTTTTCTGTTTCGATTCATAAATAACAGCAGTGCATTTTTTGTGTCAATTCTCCATAAAAACAGATATATGTGCTGAAATGAGTAGCATGTGCGCAAAATTCAACGTATTCCGTAACCAAATTCTCATGCAAAAATAAAAAAATATTAGAATGTAAACATTTCATTCAACTCAGACTCTAATCAAGCGAAACTGGAGATAAAAATATTAAAAATAGAATCCAAAATCATGTCTTCTTTTTTATTATCATATCCAAAATAATGGGACATGTTATTAGCATTTTTTTTATGAAAAATAAGCGTGGCTATTTTGAGTAAACAAGCGTTAAGAAAGCATGTAATGTGGAAGAGCAATAAAAAGTCCATTAAAGATATTTATATGAGAAGAAATATTACGTGATAATTTCCATAGATTCATTATATCCTCGTTGAGTAGCCACACGTATAAGGTTGTTAAAAATAGTCATAAGAGTAATTAAAAAAAGAAGGAGAATATTGTTTCCCAATTCATCAACAAGAGAATGAATGAACAACTGTATACGACAAATTAGATCACTCAAAAACAAATATACTCTTGAAAATTGCTCGAGTTTGTAGACACACGACAATTGTTTTAAAGCGCAATTACCATGTAAATAGATTTTAGAGTAAATATTAAAAAATTTCAATTTTTCGTTAAATTTATAAAAGAATTCTTGAATGTCATTCAAAAATATATTTATTTAGACAGGTTATGATTTAAGCTTAAATAACAAAACTTTTGAAACCGTGCGAAATTTAATACCTTTAACTGTTTTCAATGGAATACACGTGTGGTGTTGGTTGGCTGTAAAGATTTGCTCACATATTACGTAACATTGTGTATTTAAATCTCATGTTCTTTATTGCTCATCAAAATATCTTGGAATATTGAACAAAATTGAAAAATCTTTCGAATTGGGTGGGACAGGGTGAAGGGGGATGTGTTGTAAAAAATGTATCCAACTGAAGCTACTAGTCAAAACTAAATTTGTTTAAAAAATACCGGCAAATTTTGTATACAACACCGGTTGATATAAATGTAAACATAAACATCAAGTATTTTAAAAACAAAAATTATGTAACAAATTATTATGTCATGGCCCATAAAAATATTGATAAAAGCTAAAAAGAGACAACCTTATGATAAGAATTTTTTTTATTTGATTCCAACTTCCTATTGTATTTTGCATCAACTTTCAAAAAAAAATTAAAATTCCAATAAGATTCTCGAAAGCTTCGTGATTTTGAGGCATGCAGATGCTATTTCCTGCCGTTGAGAGTAACTACTCAATCATCACGACAACCATCCCAAATTAATTTTCACGGCTCAGATTTTTTTTGGCATGCATGTCTTAATTAAAGGCACGATAAAGTTCTACGTGCATTTTTGAAAAATATACACAAAGTAAAATAAAATTGAAGAATTTATTGCTGAAAGTAAATTGCATTTTCGATATCACGGCGTTTATAAATGACAATGACTTAAAATGTCGTTTTAGCGAAATTTGAAGCAGTCATAGCATGACGTGGATAGAACCTGTGTATTGATTTTAAGTCCATTGATCGAATCCATTTAGCGCTTAGCTTGGTTAAATTAAATTTTAGAGACAATATGGCGACAACAGCTCATATTCAGCATAAAAACAGCTACAAACCACACTTTATTTTCTAAAACAAAGAAGACCCACAGATGATAACACATCCACAGGGCAATCATGAGCAACAATGTGCTCTTAAAGTATGTAAATGAGAAATTTATTTGCTGCACGTTTCTGAAAAGAATGCTCATTATGAAAACGTACTAGCGAAAATAACACATTAATCTCTATTTTCAAAAAAACGTGCAAAAAAAAGAACAACGCACCCAGGAATTTTGTTTTGATTTCAACACACTTAGCATGTGTTTTGTCTGATATTCATCATCATTTTTATTTTTATTTTGATTTGTTTTTTTTTTGTCATTCAGTTAAAATTAACATACACTCAAATTTTGCACATAAAACTTTTTTATAGATTTTAATTAAATCTATTTCTTTTTTGGACAATATAATATTAATATTAAACAAATAATTTGTATCACTTTGAGTGACTTAAACAGGTAATCATCATTTATCAGTATGACTTTGTATATTCTTTGTAACATTTCACAATAATTTCTCTGCTCATTCAATTAAATTGAATTATTTATTTGATATTTGTTGCATGTGGAAATTAATTAAGTTAAATTATGCTACATAAATATTATTCTTATAAGAATTAAAGCCAATAAGACAAAAAATGGCTATGGGAAGTCGTTTCATTTGTGATGTTTTGTATTTTGAGAGGGTCTTGGGAAGAGACGTGGTTTAAGGAAAGGTTTATAGAGTCTAGATTACTCCATCGACATTATGGATAATTACCGAGTGACACATTTTGACTAAGACATCCATATGGCTTCCAAATTTAATTATACCACCAAAATATAGAGCCTTTGTGTCATTTGAGATGTAATAAATTTTAACTTGCACTCTACCTAGTCTTTTAGTCTCTCGACCCACATTCATGTTTTGAGAAATTAAGGTTTATCCAAATCTCCAATACACATCACTAAAGAACAACTCCACCATATTTTTTCGAGTTAATTAAACAGTCCGTTTTCCACTCATTTGGAATTCCTTTCAATAATTCTATTAATCTTCACATCCATCACTTAGCATGACCAATTAACTAATTATATGAGATTAAGCCGATCATTTCAAAAAAATTGAAATTCATCTTCATTGACACATCTATGTTTTAAACTCATGCCGCCGCTTTCAGCATTTTTTCACCTAAATAATCAAAAAAATAAAAAAAATTAAGTTATGATTAGCAATGAAAAAAACTCATCAATTTATATGCAAATTATTAACTTACGTTCTTTTTGATATCTCCTAACGGCTTGCTCACGTTCGTGCGCATCAAAATACCATAGTGTTACTGCATATCTTCGTCTATGTGAAGGTTGTACTTCATGCGGATTCCGCCTATCTGACCAGAAAAATGTTATTCTATCAAATATAGGCTCAATATCAGCAACACGATCGACCCATCCGTCGGGAAAAATTCTACGAAAAGATGAATCACAAAAGAAATTCTCGGTAAAGCATGAGTGATGAAATTTAAATGTGCAGGAAATACCTTAATAGACCACCATCCTCGTGGACATCCCAATTAACATTGAGATAATAAATACATGTTATGCATCGTCCGTCTTTATTTGGATTGTCTATATGCTTCACGTAATGTGAACCTTTTCCTTCGTAACATGCGACCATTGCCTACATGTCGATTGTCGGTTAGATGGTAAATTAGATGGAAGAGAAGAAGGGAGGAATGGTAAATTATAAAATGTCAGATTTAATTTTTTTTCAAAGAAAATATTGTTTGGATGCATGTGATTGCACGTAGCACGATTTTTTTCAACTGTTTTTACATTAAATTAAAAGTGAGAAAAAGAAGTAAAGTACCAAAAAGCAAAGCGTACGTGACTTTTTCAGTCGAGTTTAAAGCCAGCAGTATGAAGGAGAAAGAAATATAAACAAACCATTAACTGTATTGGTGGAGTCATGTAAAGACGTAAAATATACTATATGTACATGATTCATCATTATGTTCTCTTTTTCGCATCGACTATACTATTTCTGATATACATACTGACTGTGTTTGATTCAATGTTAGTTACTCTACGATACATTGCGAATCACACGTACGCATTATAATTATTATTGGAGAGACTTCATTTATTTCATATCCTATAAATTCTTTTCTTAAATATTAATGCTACTCTTCTTCGCATTCTTTATGTACAGCAACAAAGCATGTATTCAGGAGTGAAATAAAAGTGATGAAAAGAACAAGACGAAGTTTGCAAAAAAATAAATAAATTATTTACTGCGCTTTATGATGAGTGAGGTCACTTTATAAGAAGGAACTTAAAAAAATATAACAGAACATTCAAAACAAATGTGCTGTTTTGGGCTATAAAGAGAATCATCTGTGTTGGAAAATAATTTTTTTATCGCGAATTCCAGTTGAAAAAATAAAGAAAACAGTTGTTTCATGATTGGGGATGTGGTGTAGCTGACGTCTAATGTAAAAAGTGATTATTTGAGCACCACTTAGTCATGTCTTTGATTAAATTCTATGAGGGAACCCTCAATTAAAAAGTAAAGCCGGGAAAAACATTGGAAGAGGTCCAAGAAAATTTTAAAATCTTATTTTCTAATCACAGTCAATTCCAACAGACCGAATCTTCCAAAAACACCCTATGGTCTATAAAACACTAGACATCACTAATGAACAACACCCCGGCTAGTGCACACAATACAGAATTACTATGAATATTACCTTCGTTCTCTCACGTATGTTGTATTGTCCCAGCTTTCCATTGTTTCTCATTCGATTTGCTAATGTTATCACAGTGTCAACCTATGTAGGAACACGGCAGTAAATGGGATAAATACACAAGATAGTAAGTTATTTACTTTTTCAAAAATATCACATTGCAAAATCTAATTATTGATTTTTTTTTGCTTCATACCTGATTTATTAAACTTTTGATATTTATAAGGCCTTGTTCCTTTCCATCGATCCACATTATTCTATCGCTACGAATATGTCTATGATCAAATTTATTTTTTGTTGTGACTACTTGTCCATCCTAAATTGTTGAAAAATAAATAATTAATTGATTTTTAAATGTGTCAAAAAAATAAAATCAGCACAATAAGAATGTTATTGGAAAAGGTCATGAGCGCCGTACCTTAAATAATCCCGCTGAGTACATTGTTTTGACTTCCCCAAGCACTTTCATTCCCTTTAGTTCTCCCATAAAATTGTCCAACACGCAAACTCCATACTCGTCTAAATCACGTATTAAATGACAGCACATCTCCTCCAATGCCAATTGCTCTTCGGGACTCCTAATATTGCACAAAGAGAGAGATTTGGTTTCACAAAATGTCACATAACTATTTTTTTTGCACTCGTAAAGTCACTTTCTCTCAAAACTCACCTCATAAGATTATAATCCGGAGTAGTCGCATGATTAACATGCTTTTGATTCGTTGAACCTAGTTGCATTTTGTCAATTGACGATGTCTCAGAGACGATCTGTTGTGTCTCATGAAATTGATTCTCACGAAATAGTGAAAGTTCCTTTTCTAAATTTTCCTTTGTTTCGCGTAATAACTGTTGAGTTTCTGGTCTAAATTCGAAACTTTCTTGACTCTGAATTTGATCAAATATTTTATCACTAAGTAATTGTTCCTCTGATTGTGAATTTGGCACGTATTCTTTAAAGGTTTGAGAAGTTAATGAAGAAGTAATATCGTTATCCAGTGTATATGTTGCCAATAAATCGTCTGTACGTATGTTTAAATTTTTCAGTATCTCTTGCTCAGTACTTTCGTCCACGACCGAATACATCAGTGAATTGAACAAATTTTCTTCAAAATCATCTACCACGGTGTTATTGGAAGTGTATGACTGTGGTGAGTTTATGGATGTCGTTGTACTTTCATCTGTATATGTTGTAGCATGCGGTTGTTGATATTGTAGTGGTGTTGGATCATATTCCCGTCCTCCTCGCTCTAACGTTCTTAAATTTAATTCCTTGCCTTCTTGCATTAGTGTAAGTGGATGCTTTACATGTATGATATCTGAACCATTATTTTGTTGCAAAAATATATCATTATTGTTATTATTCGCAATAACATTATTTGGTTCTGTACTGTTAAAATCTATTGTATGTGAATCACAATTTAGAGACTCTCCTGAAGTCTTCTGTGTTGAATGATAATCAACGAGTTTAAAACAACAATCTGTTCTATGTGCATTCCAATCAACTTTCTGGCAATTTTTAGAACAGTAGAATGCTCGCTGACATTTACAGATTTTGATTCCTGTTGATTTGTTACAAATTTTGCACATGTATGACTTGTGGACACGATTTATTAACATCTTATAACAATTATCCTTATTCTACTTAGTTTTTGTATATATAAAGCTCTTTGCAGGTTTTTTTAATCTGAAATGACACAAATTAGGAAGATAAGTCTCGATTCTCGATGAGTTTGATGCTCGTGCGCGTTGCGCTCTATATTAAAAAAATATCACCTTGAAATCACAAAAAAGTCACGTAGAAAAACAAAAGTAATTCCTTTATAAATAATATGGTACGTAAAATGTTTCTTGCAAGCATTTAGCATGCAAAAAATGTAGAATCATTTAAGAACTAATTCGATGTGACTGAACTTTGAGTTTACTATATTTACTCATTAAAATATCACTTCACATCTTTTTTTGTGTAAAAATATGACTTTCTTTTCTTAATCGAAATAAGTTGCGAATTTACATGACTTATTGGATTTAATTTGAACGCATTTACAGCACCGCGACATGTAGAGCATAAATAATTGAGTGTGGAATGTGTTAATTGTATCCAAGTATGATTGTCATAGTATTACGTCGAAAGGAACCAAACTTGTTTGGACCGGAATTCATTACCTGAAAAATTGCACTTTTCACCTCGAATTTGTGTCTAAAATTCAGCACCGTTCATTTGTAAAAATTTTATGACTCAATAAAAATCAAAATAAGAGTAAATTAGGATACTTTAACTTAGACAAAATGGTTTACATTACAACTTAAAAATTTCGCTATAAAAATACTTTGTAAAACTATACAATCTGACAAAATGTTTTGTAAGGTTTTGATAAGTTTATTTAAATATTTTCTATCTGTTACAATAATTTTCAATTTGACTATAACGAGTTATCACAATAATTTTTTTAATTCTCTTTGTCCTTTTTGGGGTCTTTTCTGACGCAATATTTGGAAATTATAAAAATGTAAAGGAACTGAAACAGTGCGTACGTGACAAATGTATAGCTATAGAATACAATTATCTTGTATGTTTTTGGTGTGTTTGATATGACATATGATTGAATTGCAATGAGCACAGGTGTCACGAGTATGCTTCGTTTGAAGTTTAATTGAAGAGCCCTGAAAATAAAAAAAAAATTCGAATTTTTTTAGCATTTTGTTGGGAGTTCTCAATGCAATCATTGATTTTTTTTTTCGTGATGGATAGACATGACAACAATTTTACGGAACTGAAGAAAATATTTCAAAAATTCAATGTAAGAATTTCACATAAAATTGAAATATTTCTTCATCCAATATTTATGTTAAATCAAACTTGTTTGTGTCATCACTCAAGTAGAATATCGTAATAAAACTTTTATCTTCTTTTGTCTGTGCGATAAGTCGAGTACCTCATGTTCATTGAGGAAAAGTGACTTTAGGGTTAATACACCCCTAACCTTATGAATTATTTCATGCCACAGACATTTCGGTGCCGAAAAATGAATATTTTAAAATCGTTAAAAATTTGTCAACCTTAGAGTTTTATGCATTAAGATTTAAGTTCTAGTAATTTTCTTGGTTAATTTAGCTAAACTGAGCTGAACAAGAAGCTTAAAAATAAAAATCGTTTGCCCAAACTTTGTTTTTGCCAGTTTTTGCAAGAAATATTCATTAAAATTTCACCATTTTTTTAAATTCAAACAAAAAATAATTTTAATAATTTATTGACGTGTCCCTAGCATGAATTATTTTTTAAACTATCGCATCTCAGTTAATAAACCCAGAGTGTAGGAACTTTTTTTTTCAATTTCAAAAATGGGGTTATTAGCCTTAGAAACTGGTCCCTGAGTAATAAGGTGGTAGGTACTTTAATGGTATAGAACGTAAAGGTATATCAAACATTTAGAAAACATAAAATATTACATTACCCTGTATTTTCGGTATAAGCTACTACTCGATACTAAGCTATTAGTGAACAAAAAAATTCACTATTTTATTCTACTAAACTACGAATTAAAATGCAAAGTTTTGTTCGACAGTTTTTAGACTAATCTCCTCTAGTCCAAGAATTTACACATTTCATGCTTTTGAATTTCGTTTTATAAACTTAATATTTTAAGCGCAGGAGTTACCAACCTTATTTATAACACGACACTTTTCATAGCCAAAAAACTACATCTAATTCACATCTCAGAACATGTCAGATTCAATATTGCTTCAAATTCATCAATTCAAATTTTTAAAATTTCTACCAAAAAAAGTCTTTTGAATAATTAAATTCACATTCAATAATCTCTAGAAATTTTCATGGCAGTCTAATGACCTCCAAAAAGTCAATGTCACCTCATAAGGAATTTTAAGAATTTTTCTAAATTATCTCCCATTAATTCCTTTGTTACAAAAATTCAATAAATCTCTAATAAATAAAAATAAATGTTTACCTTGTATCTAACGGAGCATTAAGCATCAATCCACATGTCAAGGCAATACATCGTAAAGCAGAAAAAACAACAGTTGTCTCAGGACTGGGAAATAATGGATTTGAGCAATGTTTAAATGCGAGATGAACAGTCTTCATAGGGTTTCCCGAAATAACTTTATGTCCCCAATAAATTGTAACAACAGATATTGTCATAGCAATAGCAATCTTTAGCCAGTCACGTTTACGAAACTTGAGTATATTGTCTGTGTATATCTCGGCTGATGCCAATTTTGATACAATTATTCCAATTACACATCCTAAAATGCATTGATGTAAAAAGTGTGCGGAGAAAAACATTCGTGAGATTGCGACTAAGGTTAACGTGGCAATGACTATAAATCTGTTGAGTATTCTCAGCTGTATTCTATAAGATTGTGAGACATTATTGTCGATTAGTTCGTTGATTTCATCATGTAACACGAACATAAAACATGATGACAGCATCATGTGGCCTGATGGTGATCCGCCCGATGTTTCACATGTGCGATCTGTCTGATATAGGATTGGTCTTGTTAAGTCTGTATATCCTTTTGCTTCCTGAATAAACCAATATGGTCGATCTTCATTTAATATCCATTTTAATAATGCATTGAGAAAGTCACTTGCAAGTAATGAAATCATTAATTTCTTATAAAGCTTCGTGTTTAGTGCTGATAAAATCGGAATAGCATATAAGTACAAGAAAGTCGGTCCGAAAAATGTTGATAGTGCTCCAAGCAATCGTTCATACTGGTAGAATCTAAAATGAACCAAAATTATGAAATATTAATTTTTAAGGGTTGACTGGAATCTAGGCATGTTCTGAGTCAAAAAATCACTGCTGTGTACTGAATTTTCAAAAACTTCACAGATCTTGACCCAAATAGCCCTGTGACTAAGTTGAGATAATCTGTTTATGCCTGTGATTCTGACTGTAACCAAGCAACACTGTTGCTAGATTTGCTTCAAATATCCACACATAGAACATCTGACAATCAACCCTGAAAATCTTTGTTATGAAATGTTTACACTTACTGATACTGAATCGCTTGGTTCACATTAATTTCCATTCTCAAGAAATCCTCAAAGTGATCCATCGTGACTATTTTTATCCACTGTCCTACTTCCAAAATTAGAATTGAAGAATCACACAGAAAATGAACCAAAAGGATCGAGATTTGATGTTAAAATGAAAAATAAAATTTTCCTAATAACAATTTTGGTTGCTTTAATCATTACTTTTCATCATCGACTGCTGCACTCAAGTCGTGCTTATGCGAGAGAGAGAAAATATGTAGTTTTCAGCTCAATTGAGAGTCGCGCATGAGCAGAACTTTTGTTATGACTCGATTTTCAGCAATGTAATGTGAGGTAGTTGAGGAATTATGAGTTATTATGCGACAGATCCAGATGCGTGAATGGTTTTGGATAAATAAATAAGGATTCTTGCTTTAATGGTAATAATTGCTGTCAGTTAAGATCAGTGGTGTGTCCATAGTGATGATTACAGCCACTAATAATGTTACAAGGTGATAGAGACTTGTTGATTTGATGCAGATTTTAAAGAGAATCCAAATTTCGGTGCATGGGAGTTAAGGGCAGATAGAGGTTGATTACTTTGTATTAATATCTGGTTTAAACATTTCCAGAATTTAATAAAAAAAAATTACTTTAATAGAATAATAAATAAAAATTTAATTGCTTTTCTTTCTCGAGATCATAAAAGGGTCGTTCACCAATGATGTCAATCAAAATAAATTTTCAAATATCTCAAAAAAAATTTATTTGTTGTAAACCTATCTGATAAAGATCCAAATTTTTTTATCCATTAAAAGTCAGACATCATTTATGATCGCTCCTGGAAACATTTCCACTTTTTTCTATTTTTAAAAATTATCTTTTCATTTTTCAACGCTGACTGACTTAGTATATTTTCTGTTGAGGTACTCATATTGATGTAGTATTTTATGTAAAAAACACTTTATCTTTTTGGGTCATGTATCACGTGAGGTTTGTTTCGGGTTTTAATTGTAGTGTTGTATGCACGCTATTGAACTTTAATTTGATAATTAATTGCTCTTAATTTTTTAATTATTACTAGGGTTGTAGCTGGAAGTTTTTTTTTTCTGAAGTAGAAATTGGGTCAACAATGACAAGATAGCCCTTCGAACCAACCACTAGATTTTAGACTAGACAAGATAGCTTTACCTAACCTTCAAAACATTCTTCCAAATTAAGAAATTATTTTCATCATTTTAAAAAATTCGGAAACAAGAGAAGCTTTTTTAATCAGATTGTTAAGCAATAGCCGAGAACCTATTATGGATTTTTAAAAAGTCATCAAATTTTTTTTTTTTATTAAATTTCCATTAAAAATCAATATTTTATTCAAAAATAAAAACAATTCTTAATCAGCAGCTATTCATTAACAAATTGATTCAACAATTCCCCACTCTACCGAATGATATTGCTGTCATATGTGACAATTGTATCAGGAGAGTCTCTTCGCGACATTCTTGGCATTCGGAATCGATTGATTTTCAAATAATCCTTAACCTTATTGAACACAAATAGACCCAACAATGTTCCACAAATTGATAATAAAATGCTCAAAATTAATTCCAACATTGTTATTCCTTTTGGTTCCAATGGTTTTGTTGCTACAATTTTAACATCCAATTCATGTATTTTATCCATTATTTCATTAACGTAATTGTCAACTGATATTGTCGATGTTATAGATGCAGGAGTTGTCGAAATTGTATCATTTTGGTCATAAATACACTTAACGCCCATAACATTTGATTGATTTTTGGTGGGATGGTCAGGCAGCATTAATTTTATTAATTGCGTATTAAGGCAGACTTTTAATTTTGATAAAGCATTGCATTTCCATTTGTTGTCATCAACACCGAGTAGCTTTAATTTTGGAAGAATTTCACCTATTTTACGACAATCCTTGACTTGAGAGATGTTAGTTCCACTTATGTCTAGAATTTCCAAATTTGTGTTAGAAGAGAAAAGATGAAAATCGATGTCAGAAAAATTATTGTAGGATATATCGAGGAGCTTTAAGCTGAGTTGATGAGCAAAGACACCAAATGACAGGTCCTTTATGCTTGTGTTACTTAACATCAATTTTTGTAGCAACAGAAGCTCAGAAAACATGTCAATCTTCAGAAACTTTATTGGATTATTTGAAATGTCGAGGATTTCTAGATTCACAACTTTTTGTAGCAGATCAGCCACAGCATCACACGAAAGATTGTTTCCGGATAAAAAGATATTCCTAGTGACTGACAAGTAGTCATCATAAGTAACACTCGAAATTAAATTATTTTGAAGACTCAAAATCCTCGTTTTTCCCTTCACACGATAAGTAACCAGCTTATTATTGTCAGCATAAACATAACTGGCATTGACATTAAGACTCTCAAGTGTAAAATTCCTCAAAACAATTTCAAACAACTCAATCTTCAAAAGCTCAAGACTTTTAAGCTTATTTCCGCTTAGCTGTAAATTAATTTCCGGTAATATTGTTGCGTTCCTTTTTGATGGCTCAATAGCTTCAATTTGATTGTTCCTTAAATTTATATCAAATGGTAACCATTTCCTGTAGATATTCGATATCATTGTAAGGAAAAAGTCTTCCTTAAAAGCTTTAATTTTATTGTTACTCAAATCGATTCTCGTCAAGTTTATTCCAAGGCCATCAAATGCTGCATCGTCGATTGTTTCAATTTTATTCGATGACAAATCGATTTCCTTGATTCCTTTGAGGTTCATAAAAATTCCATTTTCAAGTTTCTTTAACTCATTTCTTGATAAATCCAGGAAGAAAAGGATGTCAGCAGATATAAAGTCACTTTGATGGACTTCCTGTAACTTCACATCACGAGCTCTAAAAATAGTCAATTTTGAAAAGTTTGCAAACATTTTGTCTGGAATTTTAAAAATTGTTGAATTTCTGATTTCAATTCTTCGAATTTCCGTGAATGCTCGCGGTTCTGTTTGAAATGTGTTATTAATCTTCTTCCATAAACACACAACATGCGTTGATGATGCCATAAAATCTTCAATATCAGCAGAACTGTTGAAGAATGTCATGAACAGATCATAATTGAAATGAATGCACGTCAAATTTCCTTTTAGCTTAAAATTTTCAACTGTTTGTTCACTTGTCACGTTGACAATTGTTGGACTAGCCGTAACACCATTATTATAGTTATTATTTGCCGCGTTGTCAGCAATTTGTGCGATTATCACCGGAAATTTTGAGTGAGTTAATAAATAAATGAGCAGAAAAAAGTTTTGAATTATTTTCATTTAGAATTATTGAAATTTATAGAACAACTGTTGATGATAAATTGAATTAAAAATTGTTTTGGAATTTGTTTATAAACGATTTTGAAAATTAGAGTAAAAAATTAATATGGATGGGGATTTTGTAGAAGTTTTGTCAATGAATTTTAAAACAAATAGATGCTAAATGAAAATAAGTTGATAAAGAATTTAAAAGCTTCAAAAATTCAAACTAGCGAGTGAAAATTCCGATAACCTAAAAAAATAATTTCCTGTGTAATTATTAAGAACTGAAAGAAAATCAAATTAAAATCAGATATTGAAAAAAAAAATTACAAGAATTGTTGTTTATATTAAATTATATTTTGTTACAAACTCAATGAATTATTCTATCAAATTAAAGATAATTGCTTGTCATTTTTTAAACATAGATTTTAGGTTTCTATTTTGGTAAATTTCTGTATGAAACAGATTATTCAACAGTTAAAAAGAGGGATCTGAAAGTTGAGTTTCAGACAGCTTAAACTACAAAGCTCAAAAACTATTGGCGAAAAGTTCAAAGAATTTTTTCATTTTGAGGTTACAAGTCTATTTCACATGAATATTGATAACTCATCACTAGTTTGCGTGCCTTAATTATTCGTCCACTTATTGGGTTAGCAATCGCATGAAAAGTTTCAATTCTTATTTGGCTTTGAATTTGATTTATTTGCTTAGAAAAGTCCAGGAAATAGCCGTTATTTCGGTTTGTGAGATAATCAATTATTGACGAAATTTTTGAATTTATTTCTTGTTCAAGTTCAAATAATTCAATTGTGTTCCTGGAAGTTTTCATTTTTTAAAAATCTGGATTTATTCAAATCTTCATGTTGACTTTATGCAATGCCAAAGCTTGGAAAGAGAAAAGATTTTTCCATAAAATTATTAAAAATTTGAAGATTTTTTTTTGGGTTTTTACGTTTTTTAGAACATTGAAATTTAAATTTATTTTTTATTCTTTTTCTTATAACTATTCACAAAAATTTTAAAATCATCAATTCTACTATCGTTGAACTTAAATTTTTGAGTAAAGTTTAAGCAGCATTAAAAAACATATCCAAACTTCAGTATTTCCTCGAATCTAAAGGAATTTCAACCGTCATATTAGATCCATTTGTTGGGTGTGTTGCATAGGCTGGACTGAACTGTTCTGTTAAATTTAACAGAACTATTCTGATAATTTTTTTGGATTTGTTCTGTTAATTTAACAGAATTTTTCAGAACTATTCCGATAAGTTCTGTTAAATTAACAGAATATTTTACAGAACTCTTCTGTTATTTTATTTTTGCGATTCGCATTTTTAAAATTTTTTTTTACAGAACTGTTCAGATAAAAACATCAGAATATTCAGCATCGTAATATCAGAACAGTTTTGATAATATCGGAATTCTACTGTTAATTATCTTCACTTTTATTATATTATTATCAAAGGTCATAAAAGCCAGTGTTGATAAAAAGGTGCCTTCAAGCATAGTCTTGCCCATGAACAAGGCAATTGTCATGCAATTTCAACTTGCCTACGCTAGGTTTTACTTTTTTTCAAGACAGGTGCTGATCATCACCTTTACATGAAAGCTACGCGTAGATTTTTGACCTTTTTAATAATTACATCATAAACATCATTCTTAAACACTAACCTTCAGCACTTTGTTAAAGACATTCAGTGGCGTAGTCAACGCGGGTTTTTGGGGCAAAACCCTTTTTTTTCGAAAAATTTCTGGCTAAACTTCTGAAGACATTATTAATTCAAGATTTCATTCCAAGCACTAGAGTTCAAACTAGCAACATAAAAAACGGGAGAAAACAACTTCAGGATCTAAAATCTTTTATCAGATAAGGGGTCATTCACTTATTACGTTTTAGCTTTTAAAGGAAATCTAGGATTTTCTAATTTATTTGTTCAAACAACTGATTTTCATTTCTTAGAATATTTACTATTTGGGTCAAGGTTTAAGTATTTGGGTCATAAAATTGTTAAAATTTTTTAATATAGGGCAAATCCGCGGACAATAAAAAGCTCCAAATTTTTGTTTTTCTCAAATTTCTCTTCTATTTGGCTATTTAAGTGATATATTAATACCAAAACATGCGTATTTCCGACAAATGTACAACTTTCGATAACTTTGGCATGAAATAAATCATTAATTAAAGAGATATTTTGATTTTTCTGGCGTCAATCTCTCCTGCAATCGAAATTTATTTTCAAAGAAAGCAAAAATTTTCTTAATTATAAATCTAGACAGCACCAGACTTGTTTTATAGCATTTCAAATTTAATTTTCTACCACATTCTTTTATCAGGTGTTAAAAAAAGTCACTTAATTAAGAGAAATTAAAGAAAAAAGCGTCAATCTCTCCTGCAAGAACACTTTGTTGCAAAACATCAGTTTAGAGTATTTTTTTGTAACACCACGATAAATTTTCAAAAGTTATAAAACGTTAAGATCATAATCAGTTGAAATATCTAAATTATGCAGTGACTTAAAAATAATATTTGTTTTTGTTCAAAAATTGTAACGAGTTTTTATTTTTCAAATTTTTCCAAGTAGAGAAATATTACAACTCGCTTTTTGCCAGTTTCATAATTTTGCAGATTTACTCTAGAGTATCTTTTATATTAAAATAAACCGCTCATTTGAAGCGTCTTGGGCTATACAATATTTATGCATCATTTGATTTATTTCTGGTTTGAATAGGTCAGAAATTTTTCAATCATTTGGGATACGTTTTAGGATTTGGGTTTGACACCCAGAAAAATGAGACTACTCATAATTACACTGTGAGTTTATTTATAAATATTTATAAATTTCCGGAATAGTGATCTACATGTTAGGTTTTTAAGTCCAACTCCAGTTTGTGTCAGGACTTATAAACCTCAAGTGTTTTTTTTTGAGTTATACAGGAAGTTATATTTGAAAATGACGTTTAGACTTATGATTTAACTTCTTTTTATTATTATTTAAAATAATTTATTAAAAATGAAAAAAAATTAACAGAATTCTGATAAATAACAAAACAGTTCTGAAAAATAATTGCGAATCGCAATTTTATTAACTGAACTATTTAGCAGAACTTTTTCGATATTTATCAGAATTCTGATAATATTAACAGAACAATTCCGATAAATAACAGAATTCTGATAAAATTATCAGAACAGTTCAGTCCAGCCTATGCAACAGAAGCCATTTGTTGACCTTGCTAAAACACATGGAGCCTCAAATCTTCTATAAAACATGTTTTTAAGCTTCAAGTATCCAAACAAAACTCCAATTACAAGTAAAATTGCCGTTATTAGAGCAGTTAGGACATTTAAAAAAATAATGCTGATATTTTGATTGTTTAATTTTTCGATGATTTCATTTAATTTTTGTGCGACTGAATCATTTTCATTATTAGAATTCATTGGTTTATTTTGAGAAATTGACTTGCATTTTATTCCTTTTACGTGAGATGAATTTTTAACTGGATTGGCCGGTTGCTGAATAGAAATTGGACTTTCATCAAAAGCTTTTACGATTTTTGCGAGGTATGAGCAGTTCCAATTATTATTTTCAATCCTAATCGATGTTAAATTTTGGAAGTATTTCCTAAGTTCATTGGCGTCATTGAAAAATGTGAGATTGTTGCCACTGATGTCGAAACTTTCTAATGATTTCATGTATGCCAGCATCTCAATATCAATAAATCCAAGATTATTAAATGATATATCAAACTTCTTTATATTCACTTGATTTCCAAACATTCCATGCTCAATTTGTGACAATCCAGTGTTTCTTAATTTTATAACTTCAAGTTGGGTCATTTCAGAAAAGGTTTCAATTTTCGGAGTTCCAAGAATTGTGTTTGATAAATCCAACTCTGTTAATTGGTGTGCATTTTGTAGAAAATCATAATTTACTGCCTTTGATGAGACATTTGAAGCTACCAGTTTTCTCAAAGCGTCAAATTTCAAGGTAATATTCTTTAATTCAATGTTTTCCGAAATGTCAATTGATGATACGTTAAATGATTGAATTGTCATTGATTACTTCAGCGTATACGGTAATAATTATTGAATTCATCATTTTACAGTTGAAAACAAAACTTTTTAGTTTATTATGATGAAGATCTAATAATTTGAATTTAATGTCAGATGTTGGCAAGATGCTCACTTCCTCAATGTCGTTGAAACCAAGATAAAGGTTAATTTGGTTAATTTTTCCAAGAGACTCAAATATGCGTGAATCAAAAGTTTTAATTTGATTATACGATAAATCCACTTCCGTTAAATTCTGTCCAATTTCATCAAATACGTCCTTATTTAAGATTACAATTTGGTTATGAGAAACATTGAATGATCTTAATGATATAACGTTGCTTAAAACTTTACTTTCAAGATACTGAATTTTGTTGTGCGATAAATCAAGAACCTCTAATGATATAAATGATGCAAAACTGTCTCGACTTAATGCAGACAGTCCAACATTTTTAGAAATGATTGACAAAACACGAGAAAATTGGTAATAATTACCAGCTGGAAATTTCTCAAAACTAGAATCTTTAAATTTAAATTCATAGTGGTAAGGAAATTCATCTCTATGTTTGTTTAATCCTGCATATCTATAATCATTATTGTCAACTTTTTGAAAAAGTTCTTGAAGTTTATTTGTTGAAGATATTCCAGTTATTTCACATTTTTGCAAACTTTCATATTCTCCACCTCGGCAGTTAAAATTCGTTAAAAAATCATTGGACAATGCAGCAACTTTTGTTAATAGGCAGCACAAAACTAATATTTTCAAAAACATATTTCCTTTCCACATTATTTATTTTATTTACTTTGAAGTGAATCGGCTAAAGTAATGAATAGTACTGAAAGTGCAATTGCTGAAATACATTTGCAAAGAATGAAAATTGAAAGTTGCTGACGTCAAAATGAAATATTTAAAAATATTAAAATTTATATGTTCTTTAAAAGTTTATAGTTGAAACAAGAAATTTCCCAATGAGTGCGGATGAGAAATAATTTTCGATTTCGAAGGATCTAATTTTCGAGCGCGGGAAAAAAAATTGAATTTGAAATTTCCGTTACAATTATTTGTTTGTTGATTAATACATAAAAGAAACAATTTTGCATCAAAAAACAATTGAAATAAAATTGTTTGTTAATTAAGTCGTTAACGTATTTTTATTTTTCAAAATTTCATATTTTCGAATTTTTTCGAATTTTTTTTGAATTTTTTCGAAATTAACCAAAATTAACTGACATTTTCTTTGTTCGCACTCATTGGGAAATTTCAATTGCTATTTAAGTTTTAGATACCAACAAATTAAATTGGTCACCAAAATTGAGTTTTAACTTGATATAAAATTGATTAAATGATGAAAAATGATTAAAAATGAAATTTTAGGGGGAAAACCACTTGGTGCAAAATTAATGGAGATTCTACACAAAGACGTAAAATTTTCCATCAATTTTCCATCAAGATGAATGGAAATTGATAGAAAAATTTTCCAAAATGTGGTTTTCCTCCTGTGAAATTTTCGACTTTTGACTTATAAAAACTAGAACCTCTTATCATCAAATGGGATCTCAACGGTCGTATTCATTGTATTTGTTGATCTTGCGAGAACACTTGGAGTCTCATTTCTTCTGTACAATAAATTCTTGAGTTTCGTGTATCCAAACATGATTCCAATTACACCAAGAATAGTCATAACTATTGCAAGGAGAACGTTTGTAGTTCCATGATTGTTGTTGCTTTCATTTGATGACTTGATGCTGTCAAACTTAACAATTTCATTTTTCGAGTAGTGAAAATCCTTTAAATTATTTTTTTGCACAAATTTGTCATGTTCGATGAAGTTTCTGGAGAGTTCAATCTGAAGTTCGTCAAGTTTTAATTTCAACTGATCATTTGCCAATTGTTGTTTGTCCAATGTGAAGTTCATGAGTTGTTCGATATGCTTAATAACTGCTGAATCAGCTCCTTTTGAGTCATTCTTATTGTTTATTACTTCTGAAATTTGACTTCGCAGCAATTTTGATTTTATTTCAATCATTTCTCGCTGTAAATGAAACAATTCAGCTCTGATTATGTCGCTATCGTATTTTGCGTTGTTATTATTGACTTTTTCAGCATTCATTTGCTCAATAATTTCATTTAATTTCTGTGATACTAAATCTTTTGCATGATCAGAATCGATAGGCATGATTTTCTGATTGGAAGTTGTTGTACATCCAATACCCATGACATTTGAAGAGCTTTTAATTGGAACAAGTGGCTGCTTAATAGAAATTGAATTTTCATAGAATACTTTCACAACTTTTGTCAGGTACGAGCAGTTCCAGTTATTTTCTTCAATTCCAATCATTGTTAAATTTGCAAAATTTCTCTTAAAATCGTTGACTTCGTTGAAGTGTGTCAGGTTGTTGCCACTAATGTCGAGAGTCTCCAGTGCCTTCATGCTTGACAACATCTCAATGTCAACAAACCCAAGATTGTTGTAAGAAATGTCAAAATTTCTGACATTAATTTGATGTCCAAACATCCCATATTCGATGTGTGATAATCCAGTGTTTCTTAACTTCAAGTCTTCAAGAAAGGTCATTTCAGAAAATGTTTCAATTTTCGGGGATCCAAGGAATGTGTTTGAAACATCCAAATCTGTTAATTGGGATGCATTTTTCAGTAGTTCATAAGTAACGATATTTGATGGAATACTTGCAGCTCCTAATTTTCTCAGAGTTTCAAAAGCAAAGCTCACATTATTTAAATTGGTATTGTCTGAAAGTTGAAGTGACGAAACATTTAAAAATTTTATGGAAGTCAATGAATTGTTTTTAATGTCCAAACTCTTAAATTCACAACTTGATGTGTCAATTTCTTCCAAATAGTTATCACTCAGCAACAATTCATCAACACTTTGACAGTTGAGGCTGAATTTCTTTAATTTATTTTGTCTCAAATCAAGCAATTTTATTGTTTTGCTTCCAATTGTTGATATCGCGGACTGTTTCACTTCCTCTATATTGTTGAAAGCAAGATAAAGACTTGAATTGATGTTTGTTGCTAAAGCATTAAAAATGTGCACATCTATAGTTTGGATTTTATTATGGGAAAGATCCACAATACTTAAATTAGTGCTGCAGTCATCAAAAGCATTTAAATTGATGCTTTCTATATGATTATGAGAAATGTTGAATAGCTTAAGTGATTTTAAGTATATAAGGACTGTACTTTCAATTGTTGTTATTTTGTTAAATTGTAATTCAAGAAATTCGAGAGATTTAAAGGATGTAAAACTGTCTCTGTTTAACATTGATATTCCGGCATTTTCAGCTTTAATAGATTTTATATGTGATAATGGGCTGAAAGTTCCAATTGGAAATTTTTCAAAGTTGCAATCATTAAATTCAAGCTCACTGTATTCTGAAATTTGTTTTCTAAACTGAGCGTAATATCCATTGTATGGTGCTTGATAGTAAAGCTGATATCTATTAAAATCTTCAAATACTTGTTGCAGCTTGCTGGTTGAATTTATTTCCGTTACTTCACATTTCACTGATCTTCGCAAATCTTCAATCTTACCACAAAAAAAATTTGGAAAATAATTCTGCGCATTAGACGCAACTATTGTTGTAAGTGAGACGATAAGGAAAAATTTGATTAGGAAATTTAATTTCAACATTTCTGCAATTTCATAATAGAACTTTCACGAATAAAGTCTAAATGATAACTGAATGGACATTTAATGAATTTACTTACAAAGCACAATTTTTTATTTTACACTGGATGAAATATTTGCTATCAGTTAAAGTATTTTTAGCAATTTTAAATAATCCCCACTTAAAAATTCAACGAAGTTAAGCGATATGAAAAAAAGCATTTAAACGAGTTGAAAATGTAGTTTGTAAATTAGAGATTTAAAGATAAAGAATAAGATGTTGGTTACAAAAAACTAAATCAGATCTGCATCAAATCAAAGGAAGATCTAGTTTTTTAAAAACTTTAATTGACATATAAAATAAATTGAATTTTAAGACTTAATGTTATGATCACTATTATTTTATTTAGTTTTAACAAATTTTAAAGACTGAAATAAGAACAAAAATTAAAACTTTCTATCATCAAATGGGATCTCAATGGTCGTATTCATTGTATTTGTTGATCTTGCGAGAACACTTGGAGTCTCATTTCTTCTGTACAATAAATTCTTGACTTTCATGTATCCAAACATGATTCCAATTACACCAAGAATTGTCATAACTATTGCAAGGAGAACGTTTGTAGTTCCATGATTGTTGTTGCTTTCATTTGATGACTTGATGCTGTCAAACTTAACAATTTCATTATTCGAGAATTGAAAATCCTTCAATTTATTTTTTTGCACAAATTTGTCATGTTCGATGAAGTTTCTGGAGAGTTCAATCTGAAGTTCGTCAAGTTTTAATTTCAACTGATCATTTGCCAATTGTTGTTTGTCCAATGTGAAGTTCATGAGTTGTTCGATATGCTTAATAACTGCTGAATCAGCTCCTTTTGAGTCATTCTTATTGTTTATTACTTCTGAAATTTGACTTCGCAGCAATTTTGATTTTATTTCAATCATTTCTCGCTGTAAATGAAACAATTCAGCTCTGATTATTTCGCTATCGTATTTTGCGTTGTTATTATTGACTTTTTCAGCATTCATTTGCTCAATAATTTCATTTAATTTCTGTGAAACTAAATCTTTTGCATGATCAGAATCGATAGGCATGATTTTCTGATTGGAAGTTGTTGTACATCCAATACCCATGACATTTGAAGAGCTTTTAATTGGAACAAGTGGCTGCTTAATAGAAATTGAATTTTCATAGAATACTTTCACAACTTTTGTCAGGTACGAGCAGTTCCAGTTATTTTCTTCAATTCCAATCATTGTTAAATTTGCAAAATTTCTCTTGAAATCGTTGACTTCGTTGAAGTGTGTCAGGTTGTTGCCACTAATGTCGAGAGTCTCCAGTGCCTTCATGCTTGACAACATCTCAATGTCAATAAACCCAAGATTGTTGTGAGAAATGTCAAAATTTCTGACATTAATTTGATGTCCAAACATCCCATATTCGATGTGTGATAATCCAGTGTTTCTTAACTTCAAGTCTTCAAGAAAGGTCATTTCAGAAAATGTTTCAATTTTCGGGGATCCAAGGAATGTGTTTGAAACATCCAACTCTGTTAATTGGGATGCATTTTTCAGTAGTTCATAAGTAACGATATTTGATGGAATACTTGCAGCTCCTAATTTTCTCAGATTTTCAAAAGCAAAGCTCACATTCTTTAAATTGGTATTGTCTGAAAGTTGAAGTGACGAAACATTTGAAAATGTTATGGAAGTCAATGAGTTGTTTCTTAGATCTAATTGATCAACTTCACAGGTGTAAATTTTAAGTTCAGATAGAAAGTTATTGCTTAATATAAGATCTTTGATATTTTGGCAATGAAAATCAAACTTCATCAATTTATTGTGGCTTAAATTCAAAGAATTAAATCGCTTAAGTCGGTTCTCTGTACTGGAAGCACTTATTTCTTCAATATTGTTAAATTCAAGATAAAGAATTATTTCATTGTTAATTCCGAGAGTATAGAATATGTGTTCATTCATGGTTTTAATTTTATTATGAGAAATATCAATAAAACTCAATTTTTCACTGCACTCATCAAATGCGTCATCGTCGACAGTTTCAATCTCATTATGCGAAATGTTGATCGATACAAGAGATTTCAAATAGCTTATGACACTATTTTCCAGATTTGTAATTTTATTGAACGATAATTCAAGAATTTTAAGAGATGAAAACGATGTCAAACTGTCTCGATGTAGTTTTGATAATCCAACATTCTCAGCTTTAATTGATATGATGTGCGAGAAATATAGATGATAAGATCCAGTTGGAAATTTTTCAAATTTAGAGTTCAGAAATTCATATTCATTGTAATTATTATATTCATTTCTTTGATAATCGTAGTATCCTGCTGAATAATAAAATGCATGATCATGAAAGTTGTCAAAAATTTGTTGAAGATCACTTGTTGACAAAACATCACGAATTTCACATTTTTCCGGACTTAAGTTTTCATTTTCTCCACAGAAAAAGTTTGGAAAATAATTTCTGTATCCAGTAACTTTTGATGATAAAAAACACAAGAGAATGACTTTGAAAAAATAATTCTTGCTCCACATTATGAAATCTTGTAAAGCATAAACTGTCTCGACTGAAATCAGAACTAAAACTAAGGAATTATTTAGTCATCAGAACTTATTAAAAATGTAGAAGTTTTGAATTTGTGATTGTATTTTATAGTTTATATTTTAAAGTAATTTGCATTCTTTGACGTTTTCTGGACGCAAATGAGTCAATTTTAAAAATTTATAAGTCGACAAACAAAAAAAAAATCGCCTGATCAATTCTCTATCAATCACATCTGCCCCTAGCTTTTCAAATTTGAAAAATTAAAGAAAAAAATATTTTTAAAATAAAAGAAGTTTGTTTTGATTTTTTTAAATTAATCAGTTTGAGCATTTAGAATTTATTTTTTTTATATTTTCATTTTTTCTCATTATTTATTCACAATTGTATAGGTTTTTTTTCATACTAAAGTTAATCACGTTATCTGACTGGCTGATCATGTTTCAAGTAAAAATTGTTTTATTCTTACTTAAAAGAATATTTGATTTGAATTTAGGTGTTATGCAAAGACAGTTGTGACGTTGTTTTTTAAATATTAGATTCAAGTAATTTTGATTTGTGATTAAGCTTCAAATTTCAAATTGTTTAAAGTTTTGAGAAATCATTTTTAATTGAATTTATCTATATTGAAGCCATGAAAAATTTCTTAAATTCAATGATTTAAAAGTTCAGTAAGTTAAGATTTATTCACAAACCTACCAAGAATTTAAATCCAATAACATACAATTTCAGGTCAATTAGCTTAATCTTAAATCTCATCTTTAAGACTATCTAAGCATTTAATTTTGTTAATATTTAAAAACATACTCAAATTTGGTTTCAAATTATACTCAAATTGTCGACTAGCTTACATACTTGCATCAACTACATTTGAGCATCAAAACTGTTCCTGCATAACTCAAATCATTACAATGTTTGCACTTGTGCTGATAACAAGCTAAACATTTGATAATTTACTGGCATTTTAGTCTTGAAAAATGCATTTTAAGTTTGTTTATTTTTTTTTTTATCTTCATGTTTTGAATTCATTCATGATGATTGTGACTGTAGATTCTTGACTATTTTTTTTCTCGATTTTTGCATAAATTTTTGTTTTAATAATTAATTTAAATTCAGGAAATTGTGACTTAATTTCATAATTATCAGCTAGACTAGTTTTCTTTCCACAATCACAATCATTATGAATTTCATTCCTCGTTTTTAACATTACATAATTTTTATTATTATTATTTTTTTTGATAAAGAATGAATCAAATTTCCTTTAATAATCAGAATAATAAATAAATAAGATTTGACACTCGAAAAAATTCATCTGATATTAATTAAAAAAATTTTTGATTTGAAATACAATATAAATTGCTTCATAGTAATTGATTCTTGTTTCATTTTTTTTTGAGAAATATTCTTTTTTTTATACATTTAGGAAAGCTTCAAAAAATTCATTTATGTTTTTTTTTCTTTTTTTTTCGTGAAGAATGAAAAAGCTTCATCATCATTTTGAAGTAAAGATTTAATATAGATAAAGAGAGAAGGGAGAATAGAATTAAGGAAGAAAAATTTGTTTGTTTAATGACAGAATGATTGAGGATCGTTTTTTTTTCTTTTGGGGTTAAAGAAATTCTTGGAAAACAAAAGAAGACCCAAAAAAGTTTTTAATGAATTGTATTTGAATGCCTCAAGATTGTTCATGAAGAAAAGTTTCGAATTTGAAATTTCAGAAAGCTTTGAAGAAAAAAAAACAAATTTTTTAAAACATTTAAAAGTAAATCAAACAAAGGAAAAAGAGTTCAAAAAGTTGAATCCGACTTTGAGGTAGCTTATCAATCAAATGAGAGCAGTTTAAAGTCTGGGAATTTAATATTATTGAAGTCTTTTCGGACATTCATCAGAATGATTTAAATTAATTTGAATACAGAAAATAAAAATTTAAGTAGATTGTGGATTACGAATTCAATAAGTCAATTAAGAATATTTCAAATTTGGTGAGTCAGTTTCAATTCTTTAAAAAGGCTGTCGTAAGACAAGCGAGTTTGATTATCACTGCTGTAGACTAAAACTCAGAATTAACCCTGCAGAAAATTCTTGAAAATCACTGAGATAATTTTTGTTCTAAATGAGGAATTCTTATTAAACTTGATTGCTTTTAGTGAACAATTTCAGTGTTTAAAAAAAGATTATCACTTATCATGTAGATTTGCTTAGGAATTTTAAAGATTTTCTGGATTTTTCGAAGTTATTTCTGAGTTGTTGTCACTTCACGCGATAAATCTATCAATCTGATAGTAAGAACTCTGTGAACAAGTGATTAAGCAGTCGACTAGAAAGCAGAATTTGGTGCAGTTAAAAGTATTGATTTAGATTTTCAAATGTTAACATTTTTGAAAAAAAGAATGTAAATTTCAGAAAATTTTTCAATTAGATAAACTTATATAACTTCAAAAACTTAGACAAAATCAGACCAATTCAACATAATTTCTTAGAACATTTCAAACTTAAAAGTATTTAAAACTCAAAAACCCCATTCATCAATATTTCTGTCATTAAACAAATAATTGTTTTCCTTCGACTTGAGCATGAAAGGTTGGCAAAAATTGAATCATTAATAATTATACTTTATTTTGTTTTTTACTTTTTTAATTTGAAAAGATTCGTATTATACCTTAACATTTTTCACTTTTTATCTATAAAATTGTGATTGACTATATTATGAATGGCGAGTTTGTTTAGAATTATTATCATGGAATTTGCATTCATTTTTATTTTTCATTTTTTATAAAAACATTTTTTTTTATTTTATTTATTAATTTCTTTTTATTAGATTTTATTTTTTATTATTATTGTTATTAATAAATATGTAGTAAAAATTGCTTAATTTGCCATTTTTTTTCTTTTTTGATATTTTTTGGTTGTTCATGTTTTATGAACTTTTTAACAAATTATTAGTTTTTTTATTTCGCGCATAATAAGAACTTTTTTATTATTTTAATAATATAACAATTCAGCAACTCAGGTAATTATTTTTTGGCAATGCAAAATAACTTTTTTTATTGTAAAAATTCAACTAAATTAAAATTGTGTTTATAAACCTTTTTTTTGGCAGAATTTTGCTAATATTTTTTTATACGAGGATGGACTTTTTTGTGTACTTAACGTAAGATTTTGAGTGAATTTTGGGTAAGTTTTAATGCAATTTTATTAATTCAACTTTAATCTATTTAATGGAGAGAATTAATTTTGGAAGACATGAGTGATATTATTTTAAATTATGCAAATTAAGAGGGAATAAGCAGTAAATTGATGATGAAATAATAATTTAAGTACTTTAATTAAGTTAATTGTGAGCTAAAATGTCTAGGTGACATTGTGGCTTTGTCCGTCTGTTTATTTTTACTGTGACATTTACATCTTCGGTTCGATTCTCGATATGGTTTGAAATTTTAAAGCTCAGAGAGTGAAATTCCATCAAAATAGTTGTTTGAACTCCATTTCAAAGTTCAAAGTCTTTAGGTTCGGTCATCTTCCTTGCTACGCCATAGTCTAAAAGTTTGGATTTAAGAGGTGCAGTCATGATACCTTATTTTTGAAGAACTTTCTCTAGCTACTAGGCCTGGTTCAACATTAAGTCAGTGTATTAATGCAAACACACTAGATTGTTAACTATGAATAGCTAGTCGAATAGAATCTTGACTTTAATCTTCGGAGACAAGTTTATAAGGTCTAAAGGTTGCCCTTTTGTCTGTTTTTTTTTTAAATCCACTACATTGATCATTCTATTGTTATGTCCATGAAACCTTTCTCTATCCCAAAACAACGTCCCTACAAAGTTCATTTGTCAGTTTAACTTAAATTAACTTTTAATTAATTGTAATTTTCAATTTTACAATACAAAGGCATGATAATCTATTAAGATAATTGAATGTAAAGCTCAAAAAAATAAAATTGCACTTAAAACTCACTCAAAATTCCCTCGAGTTTGTCCGTAAGGGTAAGATATTCCAAACTTGGCATCTTTTTATTTTAATTATTTTTTTACTATAAATATAAATATAACATATTAAACTTGCTAAGGACGTCTTGATGAAAAACTAGAAAACTTTAATAACATTCCCCATAATTTTTTTTTACTAGCCTCAAAAGACTTTTTTTTTGTTTGAAAAATTGCAGACTATTCATCATAAAATATTGTGCAATATTTCAAACAGAAAAAAAGTGCAGACTGAGTCTTGAGTCTTGACTTTTAATTCATAGCCCCTATCATTAAATGTAAGCGTGCTGTACAGTAATTAATTCTCCTGATTTTATCAAAAAGAACTGAATATAATTTACATACTATATCATACAATTCTATAATTCTTTTAACTATTAAAAAAAAACTAAATTCTTATAAGGAACTTTTTTTTTGTCATTTTTATGCGTTCAAATTTGACGAAAACTTAGTTTTCTTTAAGCGAAATTTATCAGAAGTTTCGATATATTTTTATTTTTTTTTAATTTTTTTTTTTTACTATTTGATAATTAGAAAATTAAAACGAGCGCCTTAAGTCTAAAGTCAGAAAATTGGGAAGATTTTTTTTAAATCTAGTGGAATTGTTGTCACGATTTTTTATCTGTTTTTTTTTCTTCGTTTTATGTTTTTTCTAAATCATTTAAATTTCACTCATATTATTTACGCATCAATATCATGTGTTTTTATTTTGGAATTAAGCCACTTCAATTATAAGATCAACTCTGGTTAAATTTTTTTTTAAAAACTTTTCCTTACTAAAAAAATTAATTAAATGTGCCTAAATTGTTGTTGTTGTTGTTGTTTTTTTTATCAAGAAAAAAAAGCGCGATTTATTTAGACATCAGTCTCGATGCCAGCAGCTAAAATTTTCTTTTGTTCCTGATAAGTTTGATTTTGACTTTTCATTTGTTTTCTTAGTTCCGAAGGTGCTCCTAAAAATGGAACAATATGGGTTTGATCACTTATTATTCCTGGTGATGACTCGAGCGAATCAATTTCTGATGGCGATTTCGAATAATTTGGTTCTCTTCCTTGTTGAACTGGAATTGAAATTTTAAATTGAGGAAGTTTTAGATTTTATTCTTAGAATTATGGAATTTATGAGTTTTCAAATTTTAAGTCAATATTATCAAGAAAAATTGTTTTTAAAGAGAAAATTTCTAATGAACATTAAAAGTTTATATTATAATAAAGCTGTAGCTTTAAAAAAGCATTTAAAAAGATTGAAAAATTGAAAATTCATGCATAAAACTAAAGCCATTTGTTATGAGTAAGTTTAAAATGGCTCGAAAAGGATCCCGAGCGATACATTGCTTGAATTAAGCAGCCATTTGGAAGTCTACTCGGAACACAAAGCTCATTAAGACTTTCATATGACTGCATTTATTTAGTTTAGGTTTTTATGTCGCTTGGGTTTTGTTAAGATAAATTTTTATTAGACTAAGATTAGTAAAATAAAGACTAAAAGTCCTTTTTAAAATTATGAATTTCTATACACAATCTACTTAGAGAGATGTGAACTATCGAAAATTTATACATAATATTAATAGAATATATTTATATGCAGAAATCGGTTACTTGGTATATTCTAGGCAAGGGTGTAGAACTAATGAAAATGATAAAAATACATTTAAACAGTTTCGTTAAAATTCGAGTTCGTGGTTCGAATCCCACCACCAGCTCAGTGATTTTTCAGTTGTTCAGATACTTTGGCTTCAAAAATGCTGAAGTTTTAGACGTAAATCTAAGAATTAGGTGATGTGAGATGTAGGAACGGGTCAAGAATTATGTAGACAGAATGAGAAAGATATGAAAAGGTTTTTACTCGAACCGAAATGGAGATATTGTGACCTCCTGAAAATTTTAACGAGAGCCGACATGAACATTAGTTCTAAGATCTAAAAACAGTTTTTAATTTTCTGTTGGACACACAACTGCTTAGTGAAGATTATGCACTACACACTGAGCTAGCGTACATAATATAGATTTAAGAATTATTAATGTTAAGAATAAAACTGTAGCGCTTAAATGTTTAGTAATACTGTTGCACAATTTAAGATGAATAAATTGAATTTTCCATCGTTTACTGGATTTTAGTCATGAAAATATACGTGGCTAGTATTTGGTAGCGTAGCCAGACATATTTCGAGAGGAGTGTGCTGAATTATTTATTTATGGAGCAAAGAAAAGAACTAGGAGAATGTATTGGGATTTTTTCGCTTAAAAACCCCTAGTGAACTAAAGAAATTTTCCTAAAGAGGAGGTAATAACTTTAGTTTGGCTTAAGTATGACCCAGATTTCAAGGTTAACTTAGAATTTGTTATGAAAAGTCAACTCAACAAGCTCTACGCTCTAGACTGGTCCGAAGGTTTCGAAGGGTTTCTGAAGATTTACTTTCAGGCTTTAACTAATGCCTTAGGATCCTTAGAAATCAGCTTTTTATTCTATATCTCTAGACTATACCTGTATAAAGCAACCGACCCTGAATTAGTAAATCAATAATCAACAACTAGAAACAGACAAGATATATGATTCTTGATAAACTTACCTAATGCACCGGGAAGATATGGACAACTAGTAACATGATTAAAGTTTTGACTTTGCATTTCCTCTTGATCAGTTTCGAGGTGATAAAAGTAATTAAAATTGCTGACAATTACAGGCACTGGCAGCGAAATTGTTAATACTCCAGCAATTGCACATAAACTACCAACGATTTTGCCCCACACACCGATAGGGGTCATATCACCATAACCAACAGTTGTCTGGAATTAAATAGAAGTTAAAGATCATTAGCTTTTGGTCAAAGAATCAATAAAATGCAACATTGCATTTACCATTGTAACAACAGCCCACCAGAAAGAATCTGGTATAGATTTGAATAACGAACTATCACTTCCTGCTTCTGCAAAGTATACTGCAGACGAGAACAGTACGACACCTTGAAAAAATAGAGCAAAAGTCATATTAATAAAAGTTTTTCTCTTCCGAAAACGTTTCTACTGCATTCGAATGAGCCATACCAATAAATAAGAAAAAGATTAGCAATCCCAATTCTCTCATTGATGCTTTCAATGTACGTCCTAAAATCTGCAGACCTTTGGAATGTCGTGATAATTTAAATATACGAAAGACTCTAACAAGTCGAATGACACGAAGTATGGCGAGTGACATCGCTTGACTCGGCAGTTTCTCTTGAGCACTAACGGGTGCTAATGGTAAGAACATTAAGTCTTCTTCTGCAAATTGATATTTTTATAGTATGTTAGTAAATTTGTAGGGCTGTGTATTTAAAATTCATGTCTAGGGGTATATCTAGGGGTTGTGAGGGTCAATGGCTCTTTGAGCTCCTCCTGAAGCCCCTAAATACATTCCTTAAACCGTGTTCTAGGTCTGGTTTTTTGAGTATTCTTCCGGTAAACCTAAAGACAGTAAAACACTAAAGTGTTCTCAAGAAACCGACTGCTAGAACCTTAAAAAAGTCTTACCTTCTGCAACAACTGTTGCAAGTGTTATAAAATAAGGAATAATTGCAATAATATCAATTATGTTCATCATATCGCTGAAGAAGCTAAGCTTGTTTGGACACGAAATTATTCTAGAAATGAGAATAGATTTAGATTATGTTGATTACCTTAAATTGATGCAAATTAATATCTGAGCTTTTGCCAATATCAGAAAATTGATCTATTCATGAAGTGTTGATTATTGATGGAAATATTGGACATATGAAAGTGTCATAAGTGCTGTGTTTTGGACAGGTTATGAGTTGTTGATCTATAATTATGGTATGTGATGCACTAGAGCTGTCATCTCAATTATAGTGTTACAAATTAATATTATAAGCTTTAATTTTTGGAACCTGGAGGTCCTCTATGTCTAGAGTTACTATCAGCATAGACAATTTAAACTTTAATATTCTAACTCTTTTAAAAGGACTCACAAAAGGGAGTCACCAGCAATTAAATTAAAAATTGATGCCAGTTTCTTTTCTGTAATTGTGCCAAAATGTTAAATCTTTGAATATTATCATCTGGCAGAAATATTAGAATTTTTCAAGATTTTTCCATAGTTTATAGAAATTGCTGACTCCGTGAGTAGTTATAACTGCTGACTGCATAAAATAAACTTTTCATTCATTTCATTTTTCTCGGGCCAGACATGGCTTCTCTATTTTTGAGAATTATGTCTCAATGAGAAATTTTTGAGGCTTTACGTCAGCTTGTTAAAAAGTATGGCTAAAAGAACACGTTAGAGATGCTCCGACATTTAATTTGTTTTTAGAAATAGCTTGATGATATTCAAAATGTGCCCAAGTGAGCTGAAGTTTCTTGTTGGCGGAATGGTTTAGTAATTCGGTACCTAATTATTGCAATACTGACCCAGCGGTCTCGGGTTCGAGACTCGGCATAAGGCATATTTCACTTGTCTGTGTTCGAACCATATGGACTTGAAATGAAGATCATTACCTTCTTATACAAAAATGTCATTAAATGGTTTGGAATCCACTATAAGCTGTATGCCTTAGCTTTTGAATGATTCGTTTATCACATATCCGGAACTTCTGGAAGTCTAATTCATTTTTGGGAAACTTCCGGAAGTTTCAGAAGCTTTGCACTTAGGTCTGAGATGAGTGTTATTGTACCGTTGAAATCAATGTCTCAACATGTCTTAAAAGAGACTTATTTAACCCACATACTCTTTATTCTATACTTTGCTTTCAATTCTAACGGTACACGAATGATTGAGCAGATAACTAGCCTTCTGTTAACAGATTTTGCCAGCACTTGGTTCAAAAATTATTACCCGAACTCATGGGAATTTATGCGAGCAACTGATATCATAAGGTCCACACTAGAATTGAGTATTTCATTCTATAAGCTAAGAAAACGCCCCAAAACCAGTTGATAATCTGATATGACTCCATTTAATTCCATTAAAAATCAATTAAGTCATTGTTGAAGCCGCACATCATCACTCAATTCAACTTAACACACTCGCGATTTTACTATCAATTATTCAGAATCAATTGCACCTTCTAAAGAGTGACAGCTTTTGCGAAGATTGTTGCTATTTTTGTCAGCGAAAAAAAGCAAAAAAATGTAGCATTTTCCTATCATTTCATAGATCAATTATCCTCAAATAGCCAAAAAGCATAAATTTATGTCGACTCATAAACTCACCTCACAATGAATTCAAATGTGAACCACACAATACATATTGTTTCAATCATAAAAAATGGATCTGTTAAATCGGGCACTTCATCCTCCTCTATCTTTGTCGTTTTTATTGTCGTGCTAAAGATCTTTATAACATAGTATGTTTTGGATACGTTTATAGATAGTCATAATAAAATCAATAAAATACAAAAAACAGAATTGTGCCAAAATAGAAAAGAAAAACAAAAAAAAAACTTTTTTTCTTTCTTTCTTGTGCACGAATAAAAGAAAATTGAGACATAAAGAACGAGAACAAAGTATTTACAAACCTTATAATGCTTAAATTTGGGTAATGTTTCAAGGCAAAAGATAACAATTGATAAAAGAATGACGAATACGCTAATTATTGCTACAACACGGGCTGCCTGCGAACTGTCAGGATGTTCGAATAGCAGCCACACTTTTCGTTGAAGTTCATTTTCCGGTAGTGGACGCTCCTCTTCCTTTATAAAACCTTCATCCTCTCTATAAAGTGTAATTCATAGTATATGAATGAGAATGTTTAAATGTTTGTGTGAATGTGAACATGAATGTGTGAGTGAGGACGCATGGAGGAGGAAATATTTATGGAAGGAGGTAAGACGAATGAGTGTTGGAAAGGAGAAAAAGAGAAGAAGAAAACAATAATATAGAATGAGAGCTTATGAAAGATTCTACATCAGAGAGGAAACACTATGATAACAAACAGTCATTTTGTGCATTTTTCTATAAAGTGAATTTTTAAGGGTTTTTAAAAAATAAAATTTTTGAGCTAGCTTTTTATAATTTTGTTTAAGTTGGATGTCTGTTGGAATTTGAGATTCAGTTGAAAAAGCAAATATTTGTGATCTTTAATGTTTTTTGATTCGAATTTTGTCGATTTTCTTTTGATTTAAATGAATTTTCTTGATATAGTTTCAAAACTTAAAGTTCTGAATGCTGACAATATCTTCAATGAAGAATTTACTACTCTAAATCTACCGCAAGAGAGTTACAACCAAGAGTCAGAACAACCAGCCACAAGAACAAACTGCGACTAAGTTGTCTTGAACACATTAAACATAAGAACGCTATCCAAGAGTGCGGAACTGGCCAAACTTGTTAAGGGTCGTTCACTTATGACGGCTATTTTCCAAAAAAATGGATTTCCTAGAATTTCTATTGTTTTTTTCTTGCTTCTTGAACCCCCTTCTCTTCCCTCTTGACGTCATAAGTGAACTTGACGACCCCTTATCTCCTTTGTCGATTCTTAAACAAGTTCTATCAAAATGTCATTTGAATCTCAACCCAAGTAGACAACATAATTATATGTCTGGTTCTAAGATAGTTGCCCTAAAATAACATTTAAATGTATATAAAGAACAGAACTAGACTAGACTCCCTCAGAACTAGACATTAACTTGACAGCTCGCTTAGTACCTTCCTCGGATACTATTTACTAAGAACCTATTGGTTTTAGATGAGCTCGAAGTCAATGAAATTTTGTATGGAGGCTAGTCGACACCGGCATACAATATCGATGAAAATCTCGATTCGACTTCGAGCTCTAGGCTTTAGTCATAGTGATCTTAATACCATCAAGGCACAAGCCTTAAATCAAAGTTGAATAGGAAACAACAACAAAATTCGAAGATCACGTGAATATTTCCTTATAAATCATTCTCATAACAGACACCTTACTTATATCAAATCTGTTTACATTTCAAATCTCAATGTTAACATTTTCAATGATTAATTTCACAATTAAGAGCAAGAAAAAGACACCGAGATGTGAAATTTAATTTTCATCTTGTCATCATCGCACAACAATAATAAAACTTATAGCCAAATGTGATCCTTGAAATAATTTAATAAGATTTTTATTTTTTTGGCACAAAATGACAATTATGATTCTACATATATTTTCGGCTAATGAACTATTTGCTAACCATTTAATCATCTAAATTACTAATGGCTAGATTTCCTAAAAAAACTAACTTTAGTCAAAACTAAAGATGCTCTTATTTTTTTGGTGGATTTAAATATTATAAAAATTAAATAAGCTGCAAACACTTAATAGGTATATAATATATATTTTGTATATTTATATTATAAAAATAATCGTGCATGATCTACACAAAAAATTACCTGAATTTATTTATTGCTTGTTCACCTAATTCGTAAAATGTAATTTCTTCGCTAAAAACATCTAATGGAACATTGACAGGCCTTCGCAAGCGGCCACCTTTAAAAATATATCATGTGTATATGTGTGGATTTTTTTGTGTTTTTTTTTTGTGGATTATAAAGTATTTTTTTGGTGTGGTGAATAAAAAAAAAATTATTAAAAAAAATTGGTAAAAATTACAAAAGTGCAAGCAGATAACAAAAAAAAAAGAAAAAAATATGATTTTAATATAGCAATATTGAAGTTCAGACTTATTTGATGATTTATTGAAGAAGTTGCTCTCATTTATCGCTCATTCAATAAACCATAAATCACACAACATTGAATTATCGTTATTATTGTTTATTGTCACATATATAAATTAATGTTTCAATTCTCACCACTTTGGTAATAATAAAGTATCGCATCAAAACTCGGACGGTTTCGATCAAAAAAGTATTCATTGCGGAGCGGATCAAAATATCGTATGCGGCGATTTGGATCACCAAGCAGCGTATCGGGAAATTGATTCAATGCTCGCAATTGGGTTTCGAATTTCAAGCCGCTAACCTATAATATTGATTTTTATGTTTTTTTGGTTGCTTTTTTGGATGGTTTTTTTGTAGCTTTCACTACTTAAAAAATTACTCAAGAGGATTGAACTTCTTGGTTGTGAGATAGAATTTAGTTGGGTTGTCTTATGGATTGTCATTGCATGAAACAAAGTTCCATACATATTCATACAAAGTCTTTAATCTTCGTTTTTGAAAGATTATAATCTGCGGGATCCTAGGCATGAACTCCGTAATTATCTTTGTTAAACTTTAAATCTTAAAAATTGATCGAGAATCAATTCCTGAGCTTGAAACTAGCTGCATTAAAATCAACTACAATCCAGCTACTTTCCAGCGCGGCATCAACTAGTTTTCAAGTAAAACTAGCTCACAGATCATTAGGATTCTGAAAAAATGTGGTTTAATTGGAATATTTGAGCTTAGAAGCCAATAACCGAAATAGAAATTCGGCTTAAAAGATTATATCCAAGGGTGCGGAACTGATAAATTACATTTAGATCATTTCATCAGTTCCACACACTTGATTATATAAATGTTTCACAAACCAAGCTCACAGGAAACTATTATTGTTCTGTCGAAAAATTATAGTTATGTCAATAGTGTTTGTCAGAAACGTAAACGGATGATTTAATGCGCCGTGACTGAAAATTTAGAGAAACACTGGATTATATCGAAATGATCAACACATCAATGCTATTGGAGAATATATTAACAAAATAATAGATTACACTATTTAAAAAAATGTCGTGTTTCAAAAATTTATGCTTGTAAATTGTAGGAATCGAACCCATGGCTCTTACAAGTAAGAACATTTACCATTCTGTATCTTTGATTATTATTCAATTAAATTAACCCTTTTTTTTAACAGAATCGCATACATATTGTATCAATTTCCATTACTTTATATTTTCCTGTAATTTACTTTAAAAGTTTTACAACCTTCTTCTCCTCCAAAATCTCCAAAAAACAAGCACAACCAAAAAGTTCAGATCCCTTGAGTTTAAAAGTTATATCATTATGAAAGAATCAATGTATCTAAATGACATCTATGCAGTATCTAATTGTTCAAGACTACATTATCAAATAATAATAATACAAACTAATTCTTTGATACTTTCACTAATATGATACTAATCTTCATGAATATCGAATATTAATTCCTACTTACATTAATAACAACGCGTTCACAGAAATCGTGATCATGTGGAATGGGTTCAAATTGTGGCACTTCTCTTTTCCGTGAATCAGTACCGTCGTCATCATGGCTACTCAATTTCGGTAACGATCTTTAATAATAAGAAGGACGAAAAAAGATGAAAATGTATTTTTCCTTTTTCTTTGGATTATCGAACGAGAATGAAGGAATGAAAATAGGAGAACAATAAATAGAATTATGGAAATGGCAATAAATTTATGTTGCTATCCCATTTGACTTGTCTCGTTCTCATTGATAACAGAGAAGAGAAATGAAAATTTTGTTTTGCTAAAGGCAGTGTTGTTAAGTGAGATCCTTGAAGCTTGTTAACTTGAAATAGACTTGATTTAACTTGTTATAATGTTTCCTAGTTGTTTTGAGCATGGACATGATTGGGTCTTTGTAAATAGGTGACGTATGACTAGTGGAGCCAACGTGGCACCAATGTTGCTGAAATTCATGCGAATTCAACAACAAGTTGTCTTCGAATCTCAATGTCTGCCAGATCTATTCTTGATCTAATATATTCATGAATCTGATTTGGTTTAAAACATTTCTATATTAAGATTTTCTTTAGCCAACCAAAACACTCAAAAAACAACACTGCTTAAGTCTATATTCGTATTGACGTATCTATTTTTATTAGCCACGTGCTTCTTACTTTGTTAAGAGATCATCAAAGACCATCAAAGGAAAACTAATAAAAATTTTGTTGACTGAAAAATTGGCTGTCATAATTATGCGTATCAAGCTGTACACCCAGTCATTTCCCTTTTTATATCCATTTCTCTCTCACTCTCGACACTACTTAACTACAGTTTTTAATGTGACACGTTAGATATGAAAGAAATTACTCGTTCGTTATTGCTAATGAAATAGAATGTATAATAGTCGATGCGGAAAGATTTTTGGCAAACGGAAGCAAAATAAGTTTTGAAAAAAGAAAAATTTTATAGGTGAAGGAGACAATTTTTGTGGATAAATTGGATAGATTTATGTGCTTTTTCTTCTCTTGCTGCTTTCTCATGTTTTCGATAATTATTCTAGTTTATTGGATTATTCGATAGTAGTTTTGAATTTTAGAATGTTAAGGGTTAGTAGGATGGAAATACGGAAGGATAGTAGTTTCATTATGTGAATTTAATGTCATGCTTTATCTTGTAGATGCTTAAAGTTTACAGAATTAATTATCTTGATTAGCTACAAATTAAAGGCTGTCATTTAAAGTTCAAAAGTCAGAAGCTCGAGCGGTACATTGCGGTAAATTTATCCTTTTTCAGTTGAATTGGGCAAAGTAACAGCCATTTTACGTAGTAGTCCTCTAGCAATTAAGTAGGACATTAGAAGGAATAAAAAGAGTGGTGTAGGTTTTAACTTGAAAGTTTTAACTCAAAATTTTTCGAATGCTTAAGCTTATTTTGAGTTTTCTATCAACTTGAACAGTCAAGTTCACTTTCAGCTTGCGAATTAATTTCAGTAGCTTTTGCATCAAACCTTCTAAACTGTAAATCTTCTCTTCACTCTTAGTATCCAAATGAATAGCTTTCTCTTGGAGCAACTCAATAATTTTCTCACTTAAACTTGAACCAATTTCAATACCTGAATTCTCAATCTTTTTTTGCTTCTCAAAGCCAACATTATTTAGTTACAAATCATCAATCAACAGCAGCTTTAAAAACAAATCGAGAAAATATTTTTTCTTTATACATTTCAACAATGGCACTTTGAACATCGTGAAATATCGATATTTAAGCCAAACATAAGAATTATGAATATTGAATATTTTTCCCACTGATTTTCCTTTCTTGAGCTTCAAAAAATTCTCTTTTATTTTCTTTCAAAGTCTTTTAGACGTTTATTATGATTCATCGAATAACAATGACGCCACAATGATGCGATATAAAAAAATAAACTTTATTTTTGCTAAGGTTGTCTTTGGCTGTATTTGTGTATTTTTTAATGCCTGATTTCGATTCAATGAGTTTTGAGCTGCATATTTGAGAAAAAAATTTGTGTCACATGAACGCACTTGAAGTATGTGATCTCATATAATTGTTATGACCTCGATTATTATCAGATTATTGTTAATTATTGGGATTTTAGTTGATTAATATTGCGACAATAAAGATGTGAAGCATTTTTTGAAGGTTTCTAAGCTAGATAGATGCAGTTTTTGTTTAGAAGGTTTTTTGAATGTTGTGCAGGGTTGTAATTTAACTTTTGGGCTAGATTAATCAAGATCTTAGTCAGAAATATTTGTGGAAATGATGCAACTTAATTATTATTATTATTTTATTTTATCTTCATTTTCTTTCATTTTTTAAATTAAGGTTTTAAGTGTCTTTGATCTAGACTGGTTATATTAAAAATTATAAGTTCCTAAACTCTCAGATTTTTGAGCAACTACACAAATCCTTAGGCTTTGGAAAGAGGCAGTTGATAGACACAGTCTTGCTTTTGGAATCAGCAATTTGTAGACGGTAGCCAGCGATAGAGCTAGTTTTAGGAAACAACTAAGAAAGGTTAGGATCACAATTGATCTGTACGACCAGCGCAGTAAGTATGTAAGTTAGACTTTTGGACAGAATATGCACAAGACAAGATGCTACAACCCTCAATTCACAAAAGTTTGATATCTGGGTTAAATATCAATAATCTGAACTAGCCTTAGCATCTCAATCGATTACTTAGCATTTAAAAAATCTCATGTATCCTGCAAGATCCAGATTTCTTTGCATTATTCTCAATCTTAGCCTAAATTCAACCAAACTGACCCAAATTTTATAATTCCTCGCCATATATTTTTTCCACATCAAATCATCAATAAATGCACTTCATTCAGCTCCGATCAATAATCAGATTATTCCAACTGAATAATCATCCAAAAAAAAAATCGCAAGTGTTATCCTCACGTCCATTTCAACACTCATCAGATGTTGCAAAAAAAAAATATTTTATTTACATTTACATTTCAATATGATCAAATCAATTATAAATAAAACTCTTTTCTCGCTTCTAAATATTTTCACAATTAGTGCTGAATAAATATTGAAACTTTTTTTTTCCTTTGATTCCATTAAAAATTGGGAAGAATCAGTTCACACAATCGTCAATTTATCAGGAAAATTACTAAAAATAGAGTGTTTTTTTTTCCTTAGATTGCCTGCACACGCAATTAGTTTACAGCGATGAAAATGGTCAAGGTGGATTAAGTTCATTGTGATTGTTTGAGGAATCGGTTTTTTCTTGCTCGAGGTTGACGGTATTTTTTTTTGTCAAGTTGCTTTTGAAGGTTTCTTATGTGCTAGCATTTTCAATATCAAAATGGATTTTTTGTGTTTTCTTTGAAAATTTTTTTATGCCTTCAAATAAGTCAGAAATAACTTGAACTTGGGACTGTGTATTCACGTATTGACTAGAATCGTAAAATATATTGCAAAGTTTTTTTTAAACCATGGATAATTGACGCAATTAGATTATTAATTGTAGCATCTGCTTTTTTGTGGTATAATTCAAGTAATGATCAGAAAAAATGATTTCTTTAAGGTTTGCTTTCTGGAATGTGCAACGGAGACATTAGGATTATAGTTTCCTGTGTTATGCTAGACTCCCTGCCCTCTATCACAAATCATTTTACAACATTAGATTTCCTTCTTTGTAACAAAAAGTTTGACTATATTTATAAATAGGCTGTCCAACTGCACACTTTGAGCAGACAGTTTCGCTTATAAGAAACTATTTTTTTGGAAAATGCTTGAAAATTTGGTTTGTGCTGCTTTTTCAAAGCTTAATTCGTCCAAAACCGATCGACAGCCTATTCATTAAGAATCCTTTACGCCTTTCAGCCTCAAATGAGCTCTATCATCATCACTATTCTCTCCTTTAGCTTAAAAGTTGTCCGATCAACTTTAACTAGGATTCGAACTTTATCTTATATAAGAAAGTATATAAAAACTCTAATTCAGTAGCATAACAACCTAAACCATTCGACCACAGAACCTTTACCCTCGGACTTGTAGAAAAGCATATACAAAGTTCAATATATCAACTCTTCATCATTTATTGAATTTCACCAACAAAATGACACAGGTGTGCAAATAAAGACCTTCTAGAATCATCATCGTCATCATCATAATTCCCACATTCTAATAAAATCATTGAAAACCTAAATTTAAAAAACAAAAAAATCAATTAAAATTCAATTGCATTTATTTTTCATTCGCTCAAAGAGTTAATTTATGATGCTGCACATCAATAAATTAATTTATTTCAAAACTGAAAACGCAAATGTTCTTTTTTCCTCATTTTAAATGTGATTTTTTTTCTTCTGCTATTTTTATCAGCATCAATCATTAGAAAATGTAATTAAAATTTCTGGCCCCCCTTTTGATGCACAAAAATAATTTAATTCGAATTTATTTCCTCACAATTAAAATGTTAAAAGTCAAAAAATAATTTTTATCACCTCTCGTGTGAGGGAAAAGCATTTAAAAATGTAAATTTTTTTCGGGGGGTATTTGGTTGTGACGTCATACAGTTTTGATGCAGGAGGGACTACTTCAACGTATAACGCTACCTTGAACTTTAGTTTTTGGCATGTCAGGGGTGGGTATCTAGGACTACTCTGGAAATCTACGCTAGTCACAGTAAATTTTCGTTGATATCTTAAAGTTGTAAGGCAATGTCTTTATTTCTTGATTAAAAGAGCCATTGAAGCTTTACCGGTCCTAAGAAAGGATTTATAATTTGTAAGTCATGAGGTTGTCCATAAAACTATTTTAATTTCAATTGAATTGGAAACCATTGGAGTTGGTCACAAATCAAATACATCATATTTTGAGACCCAACTTCACTGTATAGAGCAGTGTTGTTCAAAGTTCTTGAGCCACGGCACACTTTATGGGTAAGCCATGACCAAAATCGCAGAGCATACGGCTTGCATCATTCCCAAAAATTTACTACGGTACACCAGTGTGCCGCGACACAGTTTGGATAATACTGGTATAGAGGTATGATCCAGTGTCAGACCTTAGCCACAAAGCTTTAAGACACAAATTCTAAACTTTTATATTTTTTTTAAATATTTTCTATGAACATTATTTGTCTTTTAGGGATCAGGTACCCTAAACTAGGGTCGTAATTAGGTTTTTGATAAAAGGGACATAGCCCAACATTTTACACCACGTGTTTAGAATTTAGCACCCCTTAAAATAATTTTAGTATCACTTTTTCACTTCCAGTGGCTAACTGCTTCATCACAGCCCAAAACTTTGAGTATTCCGTACACATAACTGATGTACAACCCCCATTTAAATCGCATAATACAGTAATTCCTTTCGAATCATGTCATTTCCTTGCATTATCGTTCCTACCATTCCATTTTATGTCATTACCTTGCCGAGTTTGCGATAAAATGAAAAATATATAAATATTTTTTTTATGTGTGTGGTAAAGTGAGGTAGGTCGCGGAAAGTGCAAGTTTATGGTTTGTAGGAAAAAAAAACTGAAAATAACAGAGAATGAATGACGTAGAGGAACGAAATTTATATTTTATTGCTTCTTCTTATTGACACATTTTCTCTCAATCGCTCACAAATATTGAAGATCTGTGAGCACGTGATTTTGAGTAAGGGAATGGCAGAAAAATGTGATCTTTTCTTGTCTTTTATAATAAAACATAATTAATTGAATGTACAGTTGCACAAACATACCAAAAATTTATATTTAAATTACGCAAAATAAGTAGCTGTATTTATTTTTTTTTATAGAGACGGAAATTTTTTTTTAATGTCTGGCAATGAAAGTGAGGATTTTTATTTTTAATTTGCAATAAATTCTTTTTTTGTACCCGAGATAATTGTATGAAATTTTAGAAGGCTTGTTAGCACATAAATTCGATAAAAATTCTCAAAATGTCATATTCATTATGGCGCAGGTGATTTGTGTGAATTAATTTCTTCATCTTGCTGCTAGAATGAGTCGTAATATTTATACAAAATGTCTGTGATGAAGTGCATTTTTTGTAAAAACGAATAAACTATAGCCTAATGTCAAATGTGTGGGATTTCAATCCAGTGGGTTTAAATTTTCTTCGGGTCGTAAATAATAGAAGTTATTTAAAATTCAGAGGGCGAAACTAGGGTTTTGCATGGATTAATTGACTGAAATCTACACACAAAAACTCGGTCATCTTAATCTAAAACTTAGCTTTTTTTATATACTAGTTTATTTAAAACTACCAGATTAATTAAGTTCCGAAAAAAAGTATAGGCTTGAAATAAATTTCATTGAGAAAGTAGCTTGTGTGTATCTGCAGAAATTCTGATATAAACTGCATCAGCTATCTTCCTTGCTTCTCCTCCGGTTTCTAGAGCTACTCGTGAATTTTTAAGATTAGAACCGATTAACCTACATCTTGGAATAATGCATTGGCTAATTTGTCTTTTGTAAAACTCTAACTTTGTTTAACAGGACCAAATCAATGACTTCAAATGGAGCTTACAACCAAAGCACTGATCCACTCTTTCAATGCCATTGCTAACGTTCTACAGTGTTATTCCACGTGACTAACCTTTAAATATAAGTTTTGAGGTCTGCTTCTTCTAAAAGACTTAGCGAGAGGCCTAAACGCATCCAGAAATAACCACTTAACCCTACTTTAACAATGTTTATGTCTTAATTACATTATGAAGAAAAATCAAAAGTTGTGTTAATGCGACTCGAACCTATGATCGCTGTATTGACGTAACAGAGACGCATACCAAACTTAACCGCACCGTCATCGAGCTACTTGAGTTCATGAAGTCATATCTACAATTATGCAATAAAATGACCTAAAATGATGTCAATAAAACTTGTGAGACCCCAAAAAATATTCCTAAACAAATCTAATTCTATGCTCAATGAGTATCCAACCCAATCACATGAATAACATTAAAACTTTTTCTATCAAAAGACCAAATAAGGAAGAATGAAATTGCCAGCATGATATCATTGTATGCAGCATGAGAAAAAAAAATTCATAGGGACACTGCCAGCAGCAGAGCGAAAGAAAAAAAAAAGCAAAAAGCGCTGTCATTTGCTGCTCTTTTAGAATGCCTGCATGTTGATGTCGAGAGAAATGGAGATTTTTTTTAAGCAATGTAAATTTTCTCTCATGTAACTTTTCTTTTTTTTGTAGCAGAATTCAAGGTGTACGAACTCTTTCATCTTCGGACGGGAAATAAAAAAATTAGATCCAAAAAAAATGTTCACACAAATCTTTGGATAATCCTATTTTTACACTTTTACATGATGTTTCTAATAAGAAAGTGTAAGCACAGATTTTCACTGTCAGGGTCACGTGAAATATTTTTAACTTCTACGTTGTGACCTATTTGTTTACGTCTGTGACGTCTGAGATTTCGTAATGAGAGGAAAAGATTTTTAATTGCTTTGTCTATTTGATTTTTGCCTAGGGAAGTTTTGACTAAGGTTTGTCTGAATTTATGCTGAAAATTATTATGTAGATAATTCTTAATTTTTGTAATATCAACTTCAAGGGTACGAAACTGATCATCTTTGATTATTTTCAGTTTTTAGATCAGTTCCGTACGCTTGATCAGCCCTTTTGTTTTAAAAAATAAGAATTTAAATTAAATTATGCAGAGCTCGAAGTCGAAAGGGTTCGAGTCGACTCGAGTAGACTCGAGAAAAAACCGAGTCTCCTTCGAGCTCTGAAATTATGTATAAAATAGCTAAGTCTTTCTATAATCAGTCAGTATAAGCTCATTAAAGCTTAAGCAGTTAAGTGCCTTGCTGGTCGAATAGGTATGGCTTGACTCAAATATGGCATGGTAACTCGAAGGTCGTCGGTTCGAATCCAGCCATTTCCAAATTTGTTCTTTTTGGGAAGTTTAGATACTTCGACTGTTTAATGTACGAGATCAAGCCATAATTGGGCATTGTGGCAACGTTGGATTAAGGAACGGGTCAGGAACTTGAAGTGTAGCGGGAAAAATAGGAACGAGAGCTACAAGAAGATTGAAACGAGAGCCTTAGTTTATTTAAAACCTAGATATGAAGATTAGAAGTTTGATCCTCCATAATACTAATTTCATATGTATACAAATACAAAAGTGTAAAATGTGAATTATTAACGGACAGTATGTCGTCAATAAATGCAAAAAAAATAAATGTTTTAGAAAATAAATTGACAATTTCAAATAAGGAGCTCAGGATACAATAAAGAGCTTGACACTATAGTCGAATTTTTGAAAGGATCTAGACCGTACACAGCTAAAAGTTCGTGGGAAATCTCAATTTTTTTCACGGCACACGGGTTGGTCATCACTGATTTAGACCTTTTATCCCATTTCTTAGCCTTTCTTTGAACAAAAAATTTTGTGATAATTTACTAAAGTTATTCAATAAATATGAATTCTAATCGCTAGCGATCTAGCGCTTATGTAGTTGGATATTTAGGTCTTTACAATTTAGATTGATTGATTGATTTCGCTCTTTTTTGACATGCGTCACTTATAAAGCGCCCGAATAATAGAACTTTCAAACATTTTTCAAAAAAGAGGAAGATTTTCTTCATCTGAGCAAATGAGAACAATTAAAAATTCTACCAACTTTATTCTTGAAAAATGAAAAAAGTACCGTCCTCTGAAAAGCCTAGCAGATGTTCAGCCTACCCAATAATTAATTTGACTTTTAATTTTGCAGGCAATTTTTATTTCTCTCACTTGAGATTTATGAATGCACCTAGAAAAAGAAATCTTCTAGGTCAATCTATTTCAAATTACGGTCTATGCCAAGAAATGCGTCTCTATCAATGCGTCCCCCCGTGTAGCTTTTTCACAATATTTTCATTTTTTTTTTGTTTTTCGAGAAAAATGAGTAAAAAATTTATATTTTTTTTTGTAAGGTGAGGTGAGAAAAAATTTCATTTTGAGAAAAACACACGAAAAAAACGACAAGGTTGGTTCCTTTTCGAAGATGTTGAAAGCGAGAAAAAAAATTGAGAAGACCGCAGCACACAAAAAAAAAGAATTTCCAGCTTTAAAAAATTAATAAAAATTCTCCTTCACACATACGAGATGCTAGCACATCTCTTTTTCAAAAAAAAGCTTATTTTCTCTTCTCATACATATATGAGTATGCTATAGATCCAATGTGCTGTATGCCGTTTTCTTCTTTTTGTCCCAGTGAGGAAAAATCAATAAAAGTGTTCCGCATGAGAGAGAAAAGGAGAAAAAAAAATATTTTTTTTTTTGGCGACTGGACCCTACAAATCTTCCTCAATTCCGCTGATTGTGCTACTTACAAATTATCGTCCATACTCTCATAGTAATCCATAACATTAAGATAATCCAATCCTATTTTGTCATAACATCCAAAGCACTGAAACCATTTGTTACGATGCATGATCCAGCATCGATCATTTTTATGATCATTTTATCGATTTTTCATCATTATTTTGTAGTTTAATCAGTTAACTGTTTCTAATTTCACACAGATTATATATTTACAAAAATTTTTATACTTTTAATTCCTTCTTCTTCTTCCTTCTGCTGTTTTACATTTCATAAAGTTTTTATATCTTTTTTTTTCTGTCACATCTTATAGCACCGCCCGCAGCAATAAATCACAATCGCATTCTTGGGGCCAGGATATAGAAATTAATTTCGTTATCTAACTAACATTTAAACTATTAAGTGCACTTTAATTAACACAGAAAAACTTTCTTTTTTTTTGAAATATTAATTTATATATTTTTAAGGTTGCAAATTTTCTCGCAAACGCAAAAATTATAAGAAATGAAAATTGAAACTGAAAGGAAAGGCAATTTTTTCTTTTTTTTTTGTATGTGTCTCGCTGCGACTGACAGAGAAGAAACCGAAAAATAATCTAAAAACTGCAAAGCTCTTCCATCGAATGAGGAATGAGACGAATTTTCATTTTCATGCTGCTCATGAATTTTTATATTTTTTTTTTGTTTTTACGCTCACTTGAAATGGATGGAGGCTAGATGAGTGCAGTGCTAATTTTGAATATTCTCATTGACGCTTGCCGAGAGACTCAATATTTTAATAATTTTTTTGTCAATAGGAAGTTGGCTATTTAATGTCCTTTTGAGGATTGCTTGTTTTATGACATTTTTTTCTGTGTTTATGTTGGATGTTATCTGGATCTTTTGACAATTTTAGCTTCTTTAGTGTCTTTCGAATGTTATGGACGATGCCTTCGATGATTTCACAATCTAATCACTTCTATACGTCTACACAACTCTAAATATCCACTCAAAACCTCACAAACCAGTCAAAATTTCCAAATTTTCACACAAAATAAAATTTTTTCACACGAAAAAGAAAAATCCATTTAAACATAAACTCCATGCCAAAAGTACTCTCAATTCTCAAATATTGCGAAAAATACAAATTTCCTCTCAGCCATGTGAGTGAAAATTCTCTGAGAGAATTGAGAGAGAACTCTGCACAATACTGCACAACGCACGTTTTTCATTGTGTATACAGAAATATTCACATTATCTCTTCTGTATATACGAATTATGTTGTATTTTCATTATTTATGCGAAAAATATACGTTTTGGATGATTATATAAAAATATCATGAAAAATAACTTCCTGTAAGTTCTATGAGACGGTGTAGTTCTGAGCGTTTGCTAGATATCATTTGAAGCTTTGAATGTGTGGAGTTGTTGTAGAGATACACAAGCATGAATGTTTGATATCTCGTTTGATTTTGGAAGGATTTCTTATATTCAATAATTAGATTTAAATAAGCTGTTATGCATTAAATTCAAGATATTACTATTAAGTTACAGACTTAGAGAAATCCATCACATCCACTTAATATTGTTCTTATCCTGCAGTAGGGTGCAAGCACTTAAGTGCCTTGCTGGTCGAATAGGTAAGGCGCTTGGCTTAAATTTGGTATGGAAACTCGAAGGTCGTTGGTTCGAATCCAGCCATTTTCAAATTTGTTCTTTTTCAGAAGTTTAGATACTTCGACTGCCTAATGTACGAGATCAAGCCATAATTGGGCAACGTTAGATTAATGAACAGGTCAGGAACTTGAAGTGTAGCGGAAGAAATAGGAACGAGAGCTACAAAATTACCTTATAACAGAATATTATCAGAACGGACCTTAAATGTATAACGTCAAACCCATAGAAGATTGAAACGAGAGCCTGAATTTAATCAAAATTTAGATTTGAAGGATGACAGCTTGATTCTACATTACCTTTAGTAATTTGAAATGTATTTCTAATCAATGTAAAAAGTAAACATGTATAAATACGAATTCTTCTGGTCGGTAAGGTCGGCAAATAATTAATAATAATAATATAGCCAAAATTATCTTAACGCCAGATCTAGCTCTTCTTTTATTAGGGAAGGTTACTTATGCCAAGATTTAAAGAATCAGCTGATACCAAATGCGCTCAAGTGATCAAAATGTGACTGATCAATTCTGGACCCTTGTTGGATACCAAGACATCAAGAACTTTTAGCACTTTGTCAAGTTTCACCTTACTAGAAGTAACCGTCCATATAACATTGAATAAAGCTGTCTTAATGCGATGTGAACTCATTTAGTCGCTTAATTAAGTTTTTTTAATCTTAATCTAGCTTAAATATTATAATTTACCTAAATTTTGCTCATCTGCTGTAATTTAGCATGCACGTTCTAGCGACGATACCCAAAAATTCATCCTTTCTAAATTAGAATCCCAATTTTCCTCGCTAAAATACAAAAATCAATTAGCTTTCACAAACCACACATGCAAAATTTCCATCCGTAGCATAACGATGAGTATCTCCGCCTGAGACATGAAAGTAAACGGAAGTAATACTAAATAATTGAGCATATTACTGACTCAAAACATATATTTATTTCATCTTTTTTGTTTCATTCATAACATTTCTGCATTTTTCATGTTATCATCAAAGAAAAAAAATTAAAATCAATAATTTAAAGTTCATACAATTATTTACCACTATTGACCATCACACAATCAAAAGAAGGAAAGCATTTCTTCTGATTTTATCATGTCTGTTTATATCTGACTTACTTAACTTAACTCGAAACCAACGCCACTTGAAATTGAATAAAGAAGCTTTTCCTTCATCGTCACTTCATCAATATAAGTCGGCAGTTTTAGTAGATTCATACAAGTTGAAGCACTAGCTAATCTATCAGCATCATCGCCAGCATTTTGTATGCAAAATGGTGGATCTAAGTCCTTAAAACCTAACAGAGGTGGACGGGAACAGCTTGTGACAAATTTAAGCAGTTGACGTCGTTGCAAGTCATTAAAGTTCCTTACAACATTCCAGAACATCTTGATTGTCTCATGCTCTGGATTATAATCGCCTCCATATCTTGTGTGCTTCATTAAATCCTCAACGTCAACAGGAATTTCAGCACCTGATATAAGCACTTGAAGTTCTTTTGTATTAAACATATATAGCCATGATATTGAAAGGACATTGGCTAAGCCTTGACGGAATGCCTTGCATTGTTCGTGAATTTGTCGATTTAATTTAAAATCAGCCATTGCTTGAATGTACTCAATCCAATTGGAGGAATTAACTGTAATATTGGAACCATCTGTTTTTAAATCAACAACTCTCGTATCACCAAGATCATCACATACAACTGTAAAGTCTAGTCCGAGTTCCTTAAAATCATTCTCCGTGTAACTTTTAAGTTTCATTAAATTCTTATGCATGTCCGGATCGAGTGACGTCAATTGATGAACATCAATAATGTCAGTATGACGACCAGCAAGTTTTGATAAGAAAAATTCAGCAAGTGGAAGTTCCACAAGAAGATTCTCAAATAGTGCCTTACCAAGCATTCTTCCAATGAAGTAATAATGCTGTTTAAAGTTCTCATGAATAATACTGGCACTAGGATTTGGATACAGCATGTTATCTTTCGTAAGAATAAAGAATCCTTTATTTGGATCAAATGACGATTTTATTAATTCACTGAGAAATTCACGAAAAATTCCACCGCCATCAATTCCAGCTTCTTCTAAGCCTTGCTCATTAATCATTTGGACACGGAACTTAGTTCTTAAGTTTGGCTCATTTTCGGGTGACAATTTATCGAATGCATCCTCATACAAATGAGTTCTACGGACAGTTATATGAGTTTGTGGACCTTGAAGAAATCCTTGCATGTCACCTTGACTTCTGAGCTTTTCTGCAGCCAATAAACCTTGAAGAACTTCATAACGTTTATTGAACGGAACTACAAATGGAATTTCCTTTAAAATTGTAATTGAACGAATTTGTTTTGTTGATATTGGTGGACCTTCTTCAATATCCTTCTTTGTGAAGTCTCTAATCGGCTGAAATGGTCTTGGTCCACGTCTTCTTGAAAATGTCAAGTCTTTCGGTCTATCAAGTGGAATATTTAATGTTGGTGCTATCCAATTTTCTGATGGACAAAATCCACATCTCAAGTCACGCGTATGGAACTGTCTCAGCAGTGATACACAAACTTTTAACAATTGTGTCCAAATTGTCTTCTGCTGGTTAATAATAGCATTATCTTGATATTCTGACTCATTTCCTAACAGGATGCTTCTGTAATGATCTCGAACTGCTGATCGTGTCTCTGGAAATGCCAACTCAACAAGTCCAATTGATAATTCCTTCAATGTTAAGCACATATGAATGATATCTTTTATGTGGAAAGGCATTACATTGTTAGCAATCGGTTCAATATTCTCAATATTATCATCTGACATGTCTGAATGTGCATCATTGCCAAAACTGCAGTAATAAAATTCACCGTCATGAAGTGTTGACAGTAGACGACCGAGTAGTGCACAGAAAGCAGCTAGAATTGGAATTACTTTATCGCTCTGGTCTGGTGCTGAAAAGTTGAGAAATATTAAATGTAAATTGAAAATTAACTGCCGTAAAATATTTGAATTTTACCATTCAATAAAATCATATTTTTCAAAATACAAAAAACCGTTAAAAAATTTAATTCTGTAACTTACAGATTGTTATGCCTCTTGATAATATGCTGATTGAAAGTTGATCGTTGTCGGTTTTAGATGTCAACAAAGTGTACCAAAGTGCTCTGATGAAATTTGGCTTGAATGCTAGAAGATCCAGTAATCTAAAATCACACAAAAATGCACGAATTGAGTCAAAGATCCAACAATCTTTATATTCCAAAATTTACCTATATTCATTCATTGCAGCGCGATTATAAATCATGAGATTATGAGCAATGACACAAATACTATGGATGACATCCGGAAGATTCAAAACGGAATCAATATTCTTCACTATCACATTCACACGACTCTCATCATTTATCTGTTGTATAACATCCAATAAAATCAGTCTTTCAAATTGTGGTTGCATTTCCTCATCCTGTGTTGTTTCATCGTCACTTTCATCGCTGTCATTTGCATCTCGAATTATGTCGTCCGAATCGTCGTCGAAATTGCTGAATTTCGTATATTCATTTGCTTTTGGGAGTTTATAGATGCAACTTGTCATGGTGCCAATAAGTGTTAGATATTGTTGAAGCAAATTTCGGCTGATAATTTGATCGAGATAGTTGACATCGAGATGTAGAATTGCGTACAGAAGATATCCATTGAATTTTATATTCTTAAATGGTCTTTTACCTTCACCTTGATTATTGTTGTCGGTTCCGTTGACTCTTTGATGGACATTGTACAAGAAATTGATTAATTTAACGAATGGAAAGACCGGCTTTGATGCTAGTGACGGGATGATAAAGTTACGGATTGTATAATTTGAGTCTTTTGATAGAAATTCAATGACAAATGAAGATAAAATCTTTGAATCAAATTCCTCGTCATAATTCAAGTTATTCACAAGCTTCAGTGGCCGCTCAATCATTTCCAGTATGACTTTCGACATCTCTTTTTTCGGAATTGTAGTTATTTCATCATAAGTATCCTGATTAATCATCTCATCCAGCATTTTACGGACATTTTGGAAGTAATTTTGTTCAATCATGTACGAAAATTCTCGTTTAAGGAATTTAAGGATTTCCTGCTCATTCACATCTGCTGGAGCTAATTTTTTGATTGATTCAAAGGAAGTGAATGTTTCGATTGTCCTCATTGGAATAGCTATAGGTAATGTTGATGCGAATAGTTGTTTGAGACATATCGTTAAGAGCTTCTTTACTCGAAACTGCCATTGAATTTTGATATTTTCGTCATTTGATGTAAGAACTAGTTCCAAGAATTTGTTGATATTTTTGATTATGAATTGACAAAGCGTAATCTGGAAGTTGAAAAAATCAGTACAATTCAAATCAAAATTTTGGTGATTCATAGGATAAGTTAAGGCTGCTTACCAGTTTTGCACTGTCATCCAATTCGTAGAAATAAAGTAAACGTTTAAGGAGAAATTCCAAGTCATGAAAATTTTCCAATCGATTTGTTTTCAAGTAGTTTTCATAATTAACTCGCTCCTGTCGCTTAATCACTTGCCTATGATGGAAACTCCTGTAAGAAAACATTAGAATCAGTCCTAATATCCAAGAAGAATCCTTATAACTCTATTTACCTAATCAATTTCTGAATTTTAATGGTTGATAAATGTTTAACTCTTAATTCCTCTCGTTTCTTTCGTTCTATTTGAGCTTTTTTGATCAGTTGACTTCTATCTGTTTCTACAGACGATCCTCCCAACGATTGTACAGGCAGTCTCCGGAAAGAACCATCGAAATTGAACATTTTTGATGATCTTGAATTAATTCTTGCAAATTTTTCGAATGAAAACAAAGAAGCGCAGGAATTTCCCTTTAAATGAAAAATTTGAATTTTTAAATTAACGGTTCCTTGTGAGTATTTCACTTTGATTCTTTGTTATCTCTTTATTGGTTGATTCGTTGACGTAAATTGTTTGTTCTTTAGCTAGCTTTACTAGTTTGAAAAGTTTCTATATAGTCAAATTATTTGTTTATTTACTTTTGAAGGGGATGGAAACTGTTTGGAATTTTACGTCACAAAATACGTAAGCAGTCGCTAAGATTTGAATTATTAACCGTTAAAAACAGTCAAAAGAATGATTTAATGATGGATAAATAGCAGCATGTAATAAATTCAATTTAATTTAACAAATTACCGTTGACTGCAATAAATTCAATCAACATATTTTTAACCCATCACTAAACTTATTAATTATTAAAATTTGCTGCTAATTAGTGGCAATTTATTTCATTAAAATTGCATGTGACCAGTCAAATGATCCATAAAAAGTCGATAATTTGGTTCATGTGTTGATAGAAAAATTAATTAACAGTGTTGAGTTTTGGAGGGTTTAAACAACAGTTGCGGGGAACAAATGTTTATGTCGTGCAACTGTTGTACAACCGTTGCGTTGTTAAGAATATAAATTCTATGCCACGCAACTGTTGCGCAACTCTGAAACCCCAGAAAATAATGATTTAACATGAAAAAAACTTAATTAATTAATTAATTTAATGTGTGAATGAACATATTTGAAAAAAAAATTGTGAATGAAATTATCTGTCCGGAATATGTTATGATAGTCGTTCATCCATTTGAGACATGTCAATTAAAAAATTCTCATACACATAAAAATCGTTGATTTATTAATCTCAAATTTGCTATGAAATCTCTCGCGACTGACTCAGCACGGTGAATATTTTATTTTATTTTAAACATCTGTCTAATTTTCATATAATTAAAATATTGCTGTACGGAGGAATTTCTTTTTTGGAATTTATAGTTATTAATAGCATTCGTTGAGGGATCGTTCACTTATGACGTCGATCAAAAAACCTGATTTTTAGACCCCCTCCCCCCCTCTGTCACAAAAATTCTATAGAAAAAAATTTCCATTGTTTGAACTGTCACAAAATCCTAGACCCCCCTCCCCCCTTAAATGTCGGACGTCATAAGTGAACGGACCCTGACTGATTTTCAATATTTTTCAGCATAACTTGAATTGACACAGATTGGAACAGACTTCTTGTTTGTTTTGATGCTATGTTGAGCATAATAATGGTATTCTATAGGGAAAGGTGTCGTAGCAATAACAAGAATTGGCTAGAAAATGTTTATTTCGATTTAACGGCTTCCTTATTGTCCTTTAGGGAGACTTTCTGTGAATTTGTTTGTCAAGATTACTTTATGGCATAGATTTTATATAGGTATCATAACAGAACATACGTTAGAGGAGAAGGAGATGACCTCCATCCATCTGTTCGCCAATTTATGTAGAAATAATGCTTTTCTGACTGAATCAGCTTTAAGGCTCATGCTAAGGAGATTCCAAATTAATTCAAAACATTGTTGCAGTAAATCAGATTAGAATTTTTTTATAAATGACTGAACAGCAATAATGGAGGAAATTGTTAAGATTCTTGGCTTATGAGGAGATAATTAAGTGGAAAAATTAATCTGTGGGTTTTATCAACTTGTTTTTTAAACATAATTAAAATTACAGAAGATTTTATGGCTGCTGAATATTTGAAAGCAAGATGTTATGGATGTTAAGAAATTGCAGTACAGGATGAAATTATGTTAATAACTGCTAATGTATCAGTTATTTCTTTAAAGAGCTGAGTACAATATGGGTTGTCGAACCATATATTGATGGCTGAATGGTTGTATATTACAATTCTATACAATTTAATGAACCCGAGGGATACAAGATAAGCTAAACCAACTATGAACTCTCTGTGGCTTCTAAAAAGCTTCCAAATGGAGTTTTATGTTAACCAAGAATGAAAACAAGCTACGTATCCACAAGTATGTATCGTCACATAACAAAAATCAAGTTACATATCTCAAACAGTGGAAAAGCATCCGAATCCGACTAGAAATTCCCTTAGATCAAACTGAAGATTGTTGGTGCGACCATTAAAGCCATCTTATACAAATAAGATTAAAAGTTCCAAATCATTATGATTCACTCAGACAAAAAAATTTCCCATACCACACAACTTTACAGGTTAATTAAATATCTATTTCATCATCATTTCAGAAAATTTGTTCAACAACTGTATTTCCAGCGCTGCAAGCATCTCAATATAAAATATTTTATTTTTCGGATGTGTGGTCTATGTATATTATGCGACTAATCTGATCACCGCTTATGACGCGTTTTTTCATTAAAGCGAGGGAAATTTTCCAAAATATCGTATGCTACACTTAAATGTCTATGTAAAATAAATTAATATATCTCTATTTATAAGAAAATTCATTGCCTGTTTTCATCAAGTACCTGTTAGAGACAGAGATGTAGCTAGATTATGTGAGTAAGAATGTGAATTTGGGGAAGGGGGGTTAATATAGTCAGAATAAGAATTTTTAATACACATGCATGCATCACCAGTATTGTGTAGCTAAAAAAGGTTCATTTTGGAACTAGAAGCCAGTTTCTAAAGCTACTCGTGGTAAGCTACACAAGTCACTATATACAATCTTTAAATTGTAAAGTGCAGCACATAGATTTTGAAATCTAGTAGAGGTTTGCTCAGGGTAGCTCTAGCAACCAGCCTAAGTACTAAAACCACTACTTCCATCCAAGTAGACTCAAATGACGAAACTCACACCCCAACCCAGAACCCCCAGACTCCACCTCTGCACAATCTGTAATGCATACAACGATGAAAAATATCCAACATGCCAAAAATGCCAAACGATTGAACATTTGGGACGCGATATAAAAGCCATTTCATTCCGCGACATCACGTTCATTCGCAGTAATTAACTTGTAAGAGCTAAGTGAAGTGATTAGATATTTTTGTTGTGTAAGTTTGTGAAATCCAGTGAAAAAAAAATGGAAGAGAAATTAGAAAAAATTAAGGCATTTTACACTGATAACAAACCATATCGTCCACCAAGGCAAGTTAATGCCGATGATCCAGCTGACATTCAGGATTTAGACGAAATTAAATTGCACGAATTAAAGGAGGTGAGGTGGAAATGTTCACATTGTGTGGGATGTAAAATAAATTTGCCTTTATGGATATATAAGATACCTGCGGTAAAATTAAGTGTGTTGTGTTTTGAATATGCTGAATACAATTGCCAACCTACACACACACTTCCAAAAATATCAATTTCATCAATTATTTTCACATTTACATTATCCCCTTTTTTAATCGCTTCCACAGTGCTTCTCCTTATTCGACCAAAATAATGACGGCTATATTGATGCAAGCGATTTACGCAGCACGTTTAAAACAATGGGTATGGAGGTTGACGATAAGGTCATTGATGAAATGATTGCAGATGCCTCACAGCCAATTGATTTTGACAGTTTTGCGATGATGATGTGCTTTAAGACGATGGAATTAGAACCAGAGATTGTTCTGCTTGAAGCTCTTTCAAAGTGGGACGAACGTGTTCAAGGTGTCATAAGTTTAGAGAGGTAAGTGAATGTGACGTGATTGACAGGATTTCGAGAAAAATTACTTGGCTTCTGTGCTCTTTGATTTATTGTAAAGAAGTCGAATTGATTTTGAGGTAGGCTTAGGCACTAAGTTTAGAGTTTATGGAATCAATTTGAAGGATAAAGGGACAAGCTAGTGTCCTAGTCTAGCATTTATGGTAGCATTTGATCAACTCAAGGGGAAAACTACATGATGGCAACTAATTTTGACATTGAAAATTCCAAGGGGAAACCACTCAGTGGAAAAATGTTGACAAATTTCAATTCCCTATCAAAATTTCACTTAAAATCATTTTTTCATAATGTTGTTTTCCCCGTGGATCAAAATCAAATCATTTTGCTGATAAGTCAATGCTTACAGAAGTAAACAAGTCCTTAATCTCCATCGACATATTATTTGAGGACATAAACCTACATAGAAGCTATAACATCCTTTCAAACTAGATCAACAGCACTAATTAATTTCATTTTCCCATCTATACAGATTTTTCACACACTTAACAACCTACAATGTCGACAGATTTACGCTTGATGAAGCCAAGGCTGTGTTGAATGAGGCACCATTAGTAGAGAAAGGAGAAAATTTTAAAGGACTTGAAAGTAACACAGACAGTTGGATTGATTATCTTTTATGGGTTGAGAAGTTTTCAGGATTTAGAAAAGCTCGACAGGCAAATTACTCAATGTAAATTGGATCTCAGAAAAGAAAGCATCAATTTTAAAATTTATTGAATTTTATAAAGAAAATTGCGCAGTTTCGTATGAGATTGTAATAAAAAATTGTTAAGGATCTAAATTTTTATGATTATTGAGGTTGTAACGTGTAGGAATTTTTCATAGTATGAATCAGTTTTGTGGGGCCAGTTCACTAGTGACGTCATAATTTTATATGGTTTTTAAAGTGGAGTAGAGAAGTTAACTGTATGTGACAGTGTGGTCCAAAAATCTCAATAAAACGTCATTTATGAAGAACCCTCACTCAAATTCCAAATTTTTATAGTACTAAAAGAACTCAAAATTACTTTTCAAATGAGGGAAAAAAACTCGTTTAAAAGAAGATGGAAAATTTCCTTGTCAGGGATTATTAAAATACAAATTTAAGACCATAATTGAATTGTGTCATTAGCATGAATTATTGTGTATAAGTATGCAGTCGAGTAGGTAAAAAATTCATGAAAAAAAAATTTGTTTAATTTGCAATTTTCTTAATGAATTCTTAAAAATCAAGATTTATAAATACTTTAAACTTAAGCATATCCAAAAAGAACACGTAAGTTTGTGTGTGTGCAAATTAAAAATTTTCTACTCCTTCTTTTCATTTTTCTTTCATAAAATCGTGTGCGTAAAAAACGAATAAAATTGTGCTTGATTGAATGAGAAAGAAGGAGCTTAATCGTTCAGTTGCTATAAATGGAAATAAAATGTGGAATTTATGCTCAATTTCTTATGAAATTCATTTGAAACATGTGTTTTTGATTTTTTGCAAATTTAAGTGTTCAATTAGCTCTTTACGGTAAGAATATGAAGGACATTATGGTTAAGATGAGTTTAAAGGATACTTCACCAAGTGAATGAGTCATGATACATAACAAGTTGATGATATGAACAAAAAGTATCAGATCAAAGATGATCTCGAATCTTTGAACTCTCGATCAATTCACAAAATCCCAAAAAACAATCTTGAATCAAACTTTGTTTTAAAAATTATAAATTATGATTGTAACTATGATTCTTATACTTCCATCTATCATTTTAAATTAATGAATTTGCTATGAAAACTTAAAAACAAACAGAAAGTCTACAAATTGTAATATTGACTTTAAAATTATCGTCTAGCTCCACCTCATCGATTTTTTATAAGCAAATTTTCCATAAATTAAAAGCACAACTGTTCATAGCAGCACGTTGACTTTACTTTATTCATTAAGCTTGTTTATTTTGTAATAAATTCATCTAGTTTGAAATTTAAACAATTTTTTTTTCAGATTCTTTCGAATTTTAAATGACAAACATTTATTTTCCACCCTTGAAATTGTTTGTTTCATTTCCATTGGACAGAATATGAAAATGTTGTCGTGTCGAATGACGCAACTTAATGGCAATTTCATTCGTTTATTTTCATCTTTACCAACAAATGTACGCGAAAGTTTACTCAGAATTTCAAAATTGATCATTTTAAAACGCAAAAAAAATGCTCAACAGTAATGTGCTTCTGTCATCATCGTTTGATGAGGTTGTAAGTTGAAATTGATTGAACATTATCCCATGGCATTATTGTTATTTTTTGGTGTAATTTAAAAAATGTGACATTTTGAAATTGAACATAATGAAATTTCATTATTTTGGAGCTTTGTTTGATTGTTTTGTGAATTTTATTGTGGTTTTGGAACTTAGCAGATGGCATACTTCTAACCCTAATCTTTACTTATCAAAATAAGACAAACTCTCATGAAAATTTCGATCCATTTTAACCAAATTGTCGTAAAATTGTATTTTGTTTTATAAAGATGCTCAGTCAATTTTTCAAGCCATTTGTAGATTTTTGAAAGGTCACTGAATAATGCATCAATGTTAGAAAAGTAAACCTCATCTCTCATATGCAGAATCATAAAAAATTTAAAAAGACACAACTCTAGTAAATTTTTTATTTCCTCATAAATTTTCATTCTTAAAAGGCATCTAGGATTAGCATTAGATTACATAATAAAATCTCAAAAAGGATTTTATTCATAAAATTCACATAAAAAAATCATTCAAATCATTTTAATAAAATTCCAGAAACTTTTTCAAATATTATTACATTCAGGAAATGTTCCGGTTTAAAAATGCACGACATTTTAAAAATAACTCTAGCAACCCACATGCTAGATTCTTCTAATTGGTATATAAAAAATATTACAAATTCATATCTTGTTTCATCATTTTTTTAAGTACAAAAATCTATTTTTAATATGGTCGATTTATATAATGAAAAAGTCATTATTTACAAACACATCGTGGCTGGGTGGGAAGGGATTATGTTTGTGCTGGATATTTTTGTACGGAATTGTTTGCTTGATTGAAAGTATTTTTATGATGGTTGACATGAAAAATTCGTGGTTTTTAATTTTGCTTCAAATTATTAAGACTTTAAAATGCTAATTCCACCTCCTCCCTCATTGAAAAAGTTTCCCAGCTACCAAGTGTCTACCTTACTTCCTTATGATAACCAAAACTGGAAGAACCAAAGCTCAGAAGCTAAATGGAATGTTTGTAAACCTCTGATGAGTAACCTTATTTCTTAATCGATCCGAGAAGCTGCTCCTGTGTACTTCACAAACACATTCAACTCTAATTACATGAAATAAAGTTTTAAACTTTTCCTTTCAATTTTAAATAGCTGATGTATACAGAATATAAGTTTAATTATTAACTCAGTTTTACTTTCATTTAAATACAAATTTAACTTGTTATTCTACAGCAAGAAGTAAGCTGTTTACATTTGCTTAGCTTCTGTTTCATATGTCATACATAATATTATGATGAAACCACTTTCATTACACGTATATGCTTAACTTTTCCAACTACCTAGGTTGATTCAATTCTGATGTGGTTGTTTGATTAACAAGATGATATTTCATACGACAAATAAACCGTGCCCTTACGAAATTTATTTTAGTGATGTCTTCTTTTTCTTACTGATTTTATTGCTTATGCCTCATATTTGAATAGCTATGGCAAATGAATAAACATTTATCATGATGTGCATTATGACAGCGAGAAATTTTTTAAATTTTGAGCAATTTTGTAATTTATTTTATTTTTAAAAATTGGAATATTTGATAGAGACATTTATAGAAGACTTATAAGTCGTAGTATTGAAATTTTTGAGCATATCTATTACCAAATTAAACTTTTTACCAAGGCGTGGACACTGGGATTAATCCCAATAATCCCAAATAATCCTAATAATCCCAATAATCCCAGGTTTGGGATTATTGGGATTATTAAAATAATTTTAAAATTTGTCAGATTTAAAACTTATTAAATGTTAAAATTTTGACTAGTATTGAAAAGAATAATGTCCCCAAAAATCTTTGGATACATTTTAAGTTCAGAATATTAATATAAAAATTATCTAAGGTAATGAACTAGCCTTAAAACGTTAAAAAGTGATTTTTTACCAATAAAATCTAGTGCACTAGTCAAAAATTTACAAAAATCAATTTAAACTGTTTTTTAAATGCTATATTTGATCGATTAACTGTGTGTTCTAATTAAAATAATCTTATATTAGCCTAAAATCAATTAAACGATACATATTTCCTCAAAAAAAATTCTTTGAACTAAGTTTTTTATTCGACAAACCAAGTAAAGCTAGAGCTGTCCTCGATGATAATTACGGCTATGGTTAAATTATTGACTTTTTGGCTTTTATGGGGATAAACCAGAGATCGAAGCCGATTTTTTCGGCTTTACTCAATTTTGTTTTTTTTTGATAGAAAAAAGCCATTTAACACTAGGGTTGGGCAGAATCGTATTCGAATATATTCGAATATAACGTGCGCACATAAATGTGTCAATTAATTAAATATCTTACAACTAAAATTTCGACGTATTTGGCTAAAGAAAGTACTTCCATTGCTTTTCCATTAAAATTAGATCTATTTTAGTAATTGTTTAACATGATTTTTTCAATTGAAAAAATTTGATAACAAAGAATATTTGAAGTCGCCTTTTAAAAAATTTTAACGGTCAATAAATATTTGAAAATATTTGAAATACACAAAAAATCATTAATTATAGCATATTTAACAATTTAATATCTTTAATTCTCATATATGAATTGTTTATCATTTACAAATTACAGGCAAGTTGAAAAATGCTAATCAACAAAAAACGTATTTTTTCATTTTTGAATTTCTAATATTCGAATATATTCGAATATATTCGAATATTTGCCCAACCCTATTTAACACCCATTGCAAGTATTTCAATTGAAATTTACATGCTTTACTATTATTTTCTGTAATATTTTGTCAGCATGTAGCTAAAGTAAGCTCAGAATTTCAAGTTAGACGATTTTTAAATCAAAAAAATCAAAAATTGAGTTAAGCCGAAAAAATCGGCTTCGACCTCTGGGATAAACACTTAAAACGATGCATTTAAAAAAAATAAGATCCAATGAATACCAAATATAGCTCGAGAATTTTCCGAGACCGAGACCCGAGACTAGAGAAGAAAAAAATTTAAGTAAAAATGATAATTTTAGAATTTTTCCCATCACAGTTTGTAGTTAATCTTACAGTTAGGGTAAATGACCTTGAAATTTGCGCATTTTCACACATGAAATTTTCATTTGCTTCAATCTCTTCGGAGGATTGTAACTGAGTCCAACTAATGGTCTTGAAATGCAGGGAATCAAAAAAATTTCAACAAATAATGAACCAGTTCAGTCAACTTCCAACTCTCAAGTTACTCAATTACAACAAAATTCTCTTCGAGATCGTTTGAAGTTAAGCTTGATGCAATTTACATCAAATGAGCCTAGTACTCGAAACATTAATGAAAACTTAAAACGCGAGTTTTCATGATATGAGAGAAATAAAGTCAAAACTCCGTTATTAAATCAGCTGTATAATGCACTGCTAAGCATTCAACCAACATCTACCCAGAGTGAACGTAATTTTTCAATCAGCAATAATGTTTTGACCAAGCAAAGGAAGCGATTGCTTAACAAAAACTTAAATGCTATCGTTTTTGTGAAAAGTCATTTCCAAAACCCAGAATAGTTTTAATAGGGACACACTTTCTTATCATTATGCTTTTCTTTTATCATTACGTATTTCGTATTTCTTTTATATTTTATATTAGTATTAAGACAATAAAATTAGTTTGACTGATTGCATAACAAGGAATATATCCAGAAGTTCAATAACAAATAGACGTAATCTACATGTTCCAAGTGTTTTTTAATTACTTTCAGCGAAATTTTAAGTAGTTTTT